TAGTTTAAATACATCCTAGCAAAATCTCTGAACTGCTCACTGAGAACATTTGTTCCCTTTTGAGAAAGATGCAAACCATCTTTTTTGTACAGCTTATCTCCATTCCAAACTGAGCTACCATGAGAAATAAAGCCAAATCCTTGCTCCCGACACCATTCACTAAGCCACAAATTAAAGTCCCTAATACGCATCCACCTGTCGTTTTGAGTGTTATGCACAGGCAGAACTTCAGAGAATGACAGCGTGGAAACAACCTGCCGTATATCATTGGCAAAAACACTAAAAACTTCCTTAACCTCTGAAACCTCATTGCAAGCCAAATCATTTGTCCTTAGATGGACAAGTACATCCAATTCCCCTTCCTGCTTTGCTTGCTTAACAATATTACAGATACATCTCCTGTCTCTGTGAGCAGTAGCTCCGGGAAGACACCTCACAAGACCACCGTTGTCCATCTCCACACCTCTTATAATGGAATCCCCCAACAACAACTGCTTTCTATTAGGCCTCACCATAGTCTCCAAGCCGGTCTCCATAACACCACTAGCCTCAGTGCCTCTCTCCACAACACCACTAGCCTCAGTGCCTCTCTCCACAACACCACTAGCCTCAGTGCCTCTCTCCACAACACCACTAGCCTCAGTGCCTCTCTCCACAACACCACTAGCCTCAGTGCCTCTGTCCACAACACCACTAGCCTCAGTGCCTCTCTCCACAACACCACTAGCCTCAGTGCCTCTGTCCACAACACCACTAGCCTCAGTGCCTCTGTCCACAACACCACTAGCCTCAGTGCCTCTGTCCACAACACCACTAGCCTCAATGCCTCTGTCCACAACACCACTAGCCTCAGTGCCTCTGTCCACAACACCACTAGCCTCAGTGCCTCTGTCCACAACACCACTAGCCTCAGTGCCTCTCTCCACAACACCATTAGCCTCAGTGCCTCTCTCCACAACACCACTAGCCTCAGTGCCTCTCTCCACAACACCATTACACTCTGAAAGTGCAGAAAATGAATTATGAGGAGCAACAGACTGTGCAAAATGCCTTTTATCCACAACTCTAAGTCTACCAGATCCTACAGTAATCCATCTGCCATTCCTAGTATGTCTCTGCGGCAGTGGCTTTGCAGCAGTTCCAGTCTGAGTTTGTTCACCAGATAATTTACAAATCTCAGACTTCAAAAATACAATCTCATGCCGCAAGATAGAGAACTGTCTACAGATTAGACAACAACCAAACCTCCAAAAACTGGAACGTGAAACAAATGCATAGCAACTATTACACTGAACTAAGTCGGCCATTCCAACGAGGAGAATAATTTAAATCAAACAAATCTTAACTTTTTATTTATCCTACTGAATACCTCAGATTACCTCCAGAATATCTCCAACTACACACTTAGATGAAAGCAACCAAGCTAATGACAACAAGCCTTATAGAACTCCTAAAATCACCACCCACTAGGAATGTTTAACACCTGGGTAGGCCTCTGCTTATTTGCAAACAATAGTTAATTTAAACAGCAATCAATAGCAAGTAATCTAATCAAATGCCTTATAATTACCAACAGGAATTCAAACCTTGTGCAATCAGTAACCTTTTCCTACAGATTAATCTTACCTGTAACAGTAGAAAAGAAAGCTCTTAGCACAACTCTTAGACAGTTGAAGCTTCTGTAAAACTCTCCAGAATATCTCCAACTACACACTTAGAAGCAACACTTAGGTGAAGCATCCCTCAAGTGTTGTTACTCCTGTGTCTGTCTCCCTCCAAGTCAACAGTGCTACCATCAGCTCCACCATGCAGGCTCGCTGCCTAGGTGTTCTCTTTGACTCCGACCTCTCCTTCAAGCCTCATGTTCAATCTATTGCCAAATCCTGTTATTTCCATCTCAAAAACATTGTGCGCATCCGCCCCTACTTAACGCCAGATGCGACTTAGATGTTGGTCCATTCCACTGTCCTTTCTCGCCTTGACTACTGTAATCCGCTTCTCAGTGGTCTTATGTGCTCCCAACTAGCGCCGTTATAGTCCATAATGAATGCGGCGGCGAGGCTCATCTTCCTGTCCGCCCGCACCTCCCATGCCTCACCCTTCTGTCAGTCCCTACATTGGTTTCCTATAAAATATAGAGGTCAATTTAAAATTCTGGTTCTTGATTTCAAATCTCTACATAATGCTGCTCCCACCTATCTATCCTCCCTTATACACAAGTATGTCCCATCTAGGCCCTTATGATCTGCTGAAGACTTACGTCTATCTTTTGTCCGTACTCCCACCTCTGATGCTCGCCTTCAAGATTTCTCGAGGGCCGCACCGTTCCTGTGGAACTCGCTTCCCTCCTCCGTTAGATGCTCACCCAGTCTCCACTCCTTCAAAAAATCATTAAAAACCCACTTCTTCATAAAAGCGTATCAATTAAACTGTTAATAGCTCCGGACTTATTCCTCTTCTGCAACTGTCACTAGTCTAATACTATCCTTAACGTTTTGTGTCATTTTACCCCACTCCCTCTAGCATGTAAGCTCATTGAGCAGGGCCCTCAACCACTCTGTTCCTGTGTGTCCAACTTGTCTGGTTACAACTACATGTCTGTTCGTCCACCCATTGTAAAGTGCTGCGGAATTTGACGGCGCTCTATAAATATCATAATAATAATAATATATATATATAAACAGCCGACTTGAAGGATGTTTCCAGTTTCCATATTTTAGATGAGAATATAAAATTCACTTTAACATAACATTCCAAGCACCATAACTACTACAGCTTGCTGCTGTGGTTCTGGGAGGGCCCTGGCACCCTCGGCTGCAATGTCTGTTTGCAGATTCTCCTGCAAGCAAAATCCAGTTTGCTCCACTGTGCTAGGCAGGGCCAGGCAGGGCTTGTCATTGGCTGAGAGAGTCCACTGTGCTCTGTCAGCCAATGAACACTGCCCTGTGTCAGGCTCAGGGGAGACATCTGGATGTGGGGAGAGTGCTCAGGGGACCCAGCTACATTCTTAAAGGGTTACTCCAAGAACTTTGACCTCTTCACTTATTTAAAGTGGTTATGATGCCTGAAGTCTGTATGACAAACAAAGCTTTGCTGTCGAAAAGGTTTAACTCCACCTCCGGCCTCATCATTGGGTGTCATAAGCCAGCCTTGAACAAGTGTTCCGGGATGGCTATTGTGAATTCTGTGCAAACTTGGGAGCCTGACAACAGCATGCACTGCATATTGGCAAATATTTTGAGAAAACCAGGCCCACCTAGCATCATAACCACTACATTGGCTTAAGTGCTTATGTGCTTATGTTGTATGGAGAGCTTCTTTAAATTCTCCAACTTAAACTGGTGGAGAAGCGTGTCCATGCTTGGTGTAGTACATATAATACAAGGAGTAAATGTATGCATGCTGTGATGTTATACTGTATCTGTCACTGCATGCTGTGGGAAGAGTTACACTGTACCTGTCACTGCATGCTGTGATGTGTTACACTGTATCTGTCACTGCATGCTGTGGGAAGAGTTACACTGTATCTGTCACTGCATGCTGTGATGTGTTACACTGTTTATGTCACTGCATGCTGTGATGTTATACTGTATCTGTCACTGCATGCTGTGGGAAGAGTTACACTGTACCTGTCACTGCATGCTGTGATGTGTTACACTGTATCTGTCACTGCATGCTGATGTTACACTGCACTATATGCACCTGCATGCAGTGACACTGATACATGCTGTGAACTCATTCCTACAGCATGCAGTGACAGATATAGTCTAACTCATCCCACCGCATGCAGTTACAGATACAGTGTAACACATCACAGCATGCAGTGACAGATAAGATGTAACTCTTCCCACAGCATGCAGTAACAGAAACAGTGTAACACATCACAGTTACTCCAAGAACTTTGACCTCTTCACTTATTTAAAGTGTAACACATCACAGCATGCAGTAACAGATACAGTGTAACGCATCTCACAGCATGCAGTGACAGATACGGTGTAACTCTTCCCACAGCATGCAGTGACAGATACGGTGTAACTCTTCCCACAGCATGCAGTAACAGATACAGTGTAACTCTTCCCACAGCATGCAGTGACAGATATAGTGTAACACATCACAGCATGCAGTGACAGATACAGTGTAACTCTTCCCACAGCATGCAGTGACATATATGGTGTAACTCATCTCACAGCATGCAGTGACAGATACAGTGTAACTCATCTCACAGCATGCAGTGACAGATACAGTGTAACTCATCTCACAGCATGCAGTGACAGATACAGTATAACTATCACACAACATGCAGTGACAGATACAGTGTAACACATCTCACAGCATGCAGTGACAGGTACAGTGTAGCATCACACAACATGCAGTGTGTCTGGCACTGTGTACTGTGATATACAGTGAACATGTTTGCCAACAGTATGCCCTGGCAGATACAGTGTCATTTTACAGCAGTCTGCAATAATAGGTGACTCGAGGTTAAAGGTTGCAGTGGCTGGTGCAGCGTGTTTCCCTACATCTCTGGGATGTGCTGTTTGTACAGCTAGGTGTGTACTGTTTCAAGTGAATTAGGACACGTCAAACAACTGTTAGGGTGGCACCCAGGGCTGCTGTCTGCACAGAATAGTTAAAGAAGGATTTGGCAAAGTTAGAGATAGTTATCTCAGGACTGAGATCCGGTTTCTCTACTATCTGTTCATTGTCAGGCAGAGCATCAGTGTGTTATCAGGAACAAACAATTCTCGGTTACCCAATAATGGATCTTTACAGGTCAGTACCCATAACACACTGATTAACTACTAGAATGGAACGGATCCAAACCCCATGCTCTCTGAAACCAGGAAAACTTGCATGATACTGTAACCAGCATGGCACAATGACCCTGTAAAGCAGAAATGAGGGTAATTCTTAGCATTTTCTTTCCAACCATGTGCCCTGCTTGTGTCTTCTCCAGCAGAAGCAAAGGAGATGCTTTAGCACAATTGAATCCAACAATAGCCAGGGTCTAAAATTGAGCAAAGAGTACTCACCTCAGCTGTCAATGTGCTGTTTGGAGAGACATGAATACTGCTGTCCACCCATATGTAGCATTCATATGTTGTCAACATGAGAAATTGACTGATTATACATACTGATAGGCAGAACTATTAATGGAAATATTTAATTGAGAATTTTACATATCAAGCATTTGAGCAATGTTCCTGCAGTTTCATTACATCACAGTTTAAATGGCCATCAATACAGGAAGAAAACGTGTGTGGTTTCAATTGTTTTATTATTACAACTAAAGACATGAAGTAGCAATCTACAATGACATAAAGTCAATAATACACAATTATATTCTGCGACATACTCTGCACAATTTAACACTATCACTATTTATTGCTGTAAGAAGTGTCAGGAATTCAAAGCGAATTTAAAGTAAATATCAAATTTGAGGTCAAAATGGAAAAATTCTCCGAGTCCGGTACCTTGACTTGCCAAGAATTCTAACTTTAGTAAATAGCCTTGTTTAACTTACATAAAAGCTTTTACATTTCTAAAGAGACTAACTATTTAAGGTCCCCATCGATGAAACGCCTAGAAAACAATTCCAGGCAGGTCAGTTTGGCAGAAGTACTTTATTTCGTCTGGATTTCATTCATTTATCAAGGAGAGACGTTTCCCTAGTTTCCATTGGTATGTATGAAAGTGGGACAGAAGAAGAATGAGGGAATGAGGCTGCTATGTCATTTGCGAAGGAGTATGTTAACAAAGAGCTGACACTTAGTCTTGGCAAGAGCCAGTTGGGGCTGTACATGCGCTGAACACATGGGTAGGAAGGACTCACACAGTGATCTGTGTGTTTACTGAAAATAAAGTGATTACATGTGATACATCTTCTTTGGGAATTATTTTATGTATAAATAATTGAATACATTATTTAGAGCATCTGCTAGCTTACACTTACTCTACACTACAGACGCCATCTTTAGCCCTCCTGAAACATCACTTACCTCAGGGCTTGACAAATTTGTTTGAATCTAGGAGCCAGTTAAAAAAGTTAGGAGCCAATTTTTTCAATGCCAAAAATACAATTCTTAGGGACACTATAGTCACCAGAACCACTACAGCTTATTGTAACTAGAAACATATAAAGACATGTTTCATAAGCATGTTAAGACATAAAATAATATAAAAACTCGTAGATCTTTCCCATTAACAAATAAAGGACATATTAAAGTGTAGGAATATATGTAGGGATGCACATACATGATATCCCACATCTTGAACTACGATTCTTCATTCTTAATCTTATACACAATATGTGTATGTTCCAAGGAAGATAAAATTAAAATAAAAAATGTAGAAAATGTATGTGCATATATTCACCTTAAGTCTAAAGGACCCCATAAATGGAACTATCAAAAAAAATATTTTCTAGAATATTGACTAATTCAAATTCAACATTCATACCCACATGGGTCAACGTTTTCAACTTATAGATCCAGGACATTTCCTGATATGTTAGCCTCTTAATTAGTTCTCCCCCTCTCCAGTTAATGTTAACCTTTTCAATACCACACTCCAAGGATTTCTTTATTAGTTCCATGTATATTTATATGTTTTAAAACCCCAAATTGATTTGTACTACAAGGGGAGCCTTCTTCATGGAAGGATGTAGGGCATATGGCACTTTAAGAGTTAAACAGATGTGAGCGTATAAAGCAACGCTCTTAGTGGCCGCCGCACTATCTTTAAAAAGCCTGGTGTTACGGGCGAAACGCATAGAAGTGCGAGCGGCATTTGCTTTACGAGTGGTGAAAGAAAGTGATTTGAAATCACCGGTCCCCATTTTCAGCTCTCTCCCGGCAACAATATTTGGTTTATCAACCCTGAGATCGAGCGGGAGTCTGTACAAGCAGGATGACAGGCAGTAAAAGCTTCTGTATCTCACATACACCTATGCTAGATTGTGGTATCTTGGCAACGCGTACCACCACACGATGATGTAAGGGTTCTCATGTTTGTTTTCAATAAATACATTGTTACGTTATGAGGTCCTCTTTTATATCTTTTTAAGGAACAAAACTACTGTGTTACACATTGTTTCATAAGATGCTGGACCCTAGCTGTGAGGCAAGATTAACCCGAAGAGACTTTTACCCAAAAACTTTTGGACTCTTCAGCATTTTAACAGTTATTTGAAATAACACACACTGTGATTTATATGCGGTTGATTATCTATGAGAGTCACCAATTGAAATAGTGCATGTCTAGGTGTTTTTATTTCATGAGATATGTATATATGTATATAGATCACCTATTTTAAGGTTTTCTTAGGTAAGTGCCTACACTTACGTTTATGCTTCAGTTACACTGGCCTTAAATTTGGAAATTCACTTTGAATTCTCATGTTAGTGAATAGCCCTGTAAAATAGTCTATCCAAACTGAAAATATCGCTCACTTGGAGAATATTTTCAGCTGAGCTAATTTGGCCTTAAATTTGAAAATCACTTTGAATTCCCAACTATGGAGTAAGTGAATAGCCTTGTCAATATGAAGGCCTGAATCCATTTTTGAAATCCCTGACACTTGATGTTAGGATTCATGGACACGCACTAACTCTTGATTACCTACACTCAGGGGGTTCCTCATTCACATACACTGTACTGCGGAAAATACTCAGCAAATGTATATAGACCCAGAAAATATTAAGATTACTAAAGATCAAGTCTGTAGGAAACGGCAGCATAGTGCTTTGGATGGGGTCGCTCACATCGATTTCTGGTACCTATCTTTGCAGTTATTGTGCCAAGGAGCTGGACACGTCACCACAGTCAGAATAGGGGCAGGCACATTCTATAGCACCAAGTATAAATAAAATTGCTAGAACTGCAAAATGTTACATGTAACTTGCGTGGTTTTAACATTTTCTTAATTGGAAGATTTAGAAATATATTAACATAGAGCTCACTTCCTACACTCCAGCTGTTAAATCCCAACTCTCAGCCAAATGTGTATCTGGTAGGGCTGAGCCAAAAGCACATCTGCTATATATCTCCTGGGCTAACTAGAAACTGGCCAGTCCACAAGCCCTTCTCTCTTAGGTCAAATGACTGATGCCTTTCACTAGTCATTGCTATCATTCTCATCCACAGCCTCCTGCAGCTGCCCAAAGAAAGACAATATTGCTTAACTCTCTCTGCTGATTTCGGGGTCAGTGTGATCTGTCCTTGTATCTGATTTGGGACATTTCCAGGTCTCATGTTGACATGATCTCTCCCCTTAAACAAATAAAACTGCCCTGGGGATTGCCAGGAATAGGATCCTCTGCTGTCAAGTCTGGTACATACACTGCGCTATATCAGCACCGGGGATTTTCACTGGCATAATTAGGAATATCATAATCTAAGGTCATTTATAAACAGGCTCTAAGACTAGACCATGTCACCTGCTCCTAGGATTTAAGTAAGAGAGACAATCCTGTAGATCAATGTAATATATACCAGCTTTCTTTCTGAAAGTGGCTGATAGCAATTTACATGAATCAGAGTACAGTATTTGATTTTTCTTAAACTATGCGGGAAGCATTTGATCAGAGATCTCTCATTCTACAAGAGTTTGTAAAACCTATTAAACACTGTATTGAGTGCCAAGGCTGTGAAAAAGGAATGAGATTCAGGCCATTTCAAACAACAAACTGACTTCATCTTAACCGTCGTCCGTTTGCACATTTAGTGATTCCTGCGCACCTCACTCTACCACTACTGCTCTGAATGGAAACCCCAAATCGACAGTAGTAAAAAAAAAATATAAAGCCACGCATGACACATGCCTTTTACACGGAGCTGCAAGTTTCCTGTTGCAGGAATAAGCATGGATAAGCATCTCCAGGTTTGAACTGACCAATTTGTCTTTAACCACTTAAGGACACATGGCATGTGTGACATGTCATAATTCCCTTTTATTCCAGAAGTTTGGTTCTAAAGGAGTTAAAAAAAATAAATGATATACGAAACATAAAAAGAAATCTGCTTGAAAGTGCTGCATTTTCTGTAAAATTTCTAGCTTTGCCTTGTACCCTATCCAGCCTACGCCAACCATGCGGAATGCTTTTAAGAAGTACAGGGGTTTCAGGGAAGGCAGATGGCAGGTTCCAACAGCTAAATGTCAGCTCCCTAAAGGATTCGTTGGGTAGTACATGAACATCACACAAAGTCGTATTATTACAGCACATGGGAACCACTGCAAGCAAGGACGGGGGACAAATGAAGTAAATCCAAGGATACAGGCCCAGGACCCATAACCACATGCAATCACTAACGAAACAGGCTTCCTCGGCGGGTTTGACAATTCCAACATGTCTGCAATATACAGTGCACCTTATAGTAAAGTGGTTCTTTGCACCAGAGCCAGGAAGTGGCTGGGAAAGTCAGATCCTTTTTATCCAACCTCACATAACTGCCCTCAATACACTGCATTCCGCAGTGACACTGCCTACCTGAATGCAGTTGAAATCGTTTTAACACTGGGAAGAGCCCATGTAGGCCTTATGCAGAATATATTTTGTTATATATTACATTACAAGAATGGGCCAAGAGGGTGCCTATCAAGGAAGGATCTAGTACATAAAACGCACCCACCCCTATACACGTTGTGGCTTATCTTATCAATGGTGTAATTCAAGACCTGTCTGGACAAGATAGGTTACAATTTGAACCACAGCTCTACAGCAACATCTGCTGGCTACTATAAGGAAAATGCCTAGCTGACACTCAGGTGTGGATTTTACCTGCTTCCAGGCACATTTGCTAGATGATGAACGCTATGTAGGAGGGCCAAAGTATGCCATGTTGTAATGTTACCCAAACTGGAAGGGAATAGCAGTATACACCAGGAAGGAAAGGAACAGAGAGGACACAAAAGGATAGTCAGGAAACATTGCACAGCCAGTTGGAATACTTTTAATTTTTCATAAAAATCAAAGCAGATGAAATTTGCAACCATGCGAATCTGGCTTGGGAGGAAAATACAGACAAAACAAAAAGTAAAACACAAAACGCTCTTTGTCCATGGGAAATGAGCAGGGAAACAACCACCCCTCCCCCAATACTCTCCAGTCTGTGATGACAGAGTCCCCAAAGTGGAATGATTAATAAAAACAGCAGAGGAAAGGCAATAAATAGAACTATCCAGGATCAGGGCACTGTCACGACATTACCCCTGGATGTAAGGCAGCCTGTCTGAGCTACAGACCCACATTCATATGTCAGTACTAGCATTAGTGTGGCGCTTACCTGTAACAATTAGTGGCTATGAAAGTCCCTTACAGACAGGACACTGTGCAGGGCGAAACCACAGACAAACAAGTCAATATCGATGAGGCTTTATTTACTGGCACAGAAAATTATAAAGCACATACCATAAAAAGTGTCAGTCCCAGCGCCTTGGTGCCCGGAAAGGGCATTGGATTGGGGCAGACACTAAAAACATTTTACCTTTAGTTTTGGTCCTACATAATCCACATTGGGAGTGAAATTTTAGACCTTCAGAATTTACACTGTTCAGTGCTGTGCCACCTCATTGTCTCCACAATATATGGATTAAGAGCAGCTTAGAATATGCAGGTGGCTCCAAACCAATGCGGGAGGAGCCTCCTGTACAAAGGGGCAGATATTTAAAGCGAGGCACACTGAGGAGAATTATTAAGACGCCACCCCTCCTACAACGGATGCACAATCATTAAGGCAACATGGCTACAAATTAAATAAAAAAATAGAAGCACAACACACACGTTGCAAAATGAGTGGCAGACTGGGCAATGTTCACAAGATTGGACAGATGGGGGGAGGAAGAGTAAAAATTAGGGTTGTCCCTGTGACGGATACTTTCCAATCCCTGGTGCAAAGAAAATTAACTGGTGAACTTGGGCCCAGGACTGGGCTGAGGGGTCAATCACACCACTCCCTCTTCCCAGACATCCTGCAATAGTAACCCAACACGGAAAGGCAGAGCAGATGAGTCAGACAGCGCCCACAGAAGGCAAAAAAAAATAAAAAATCAATCCCACTTGGCAATTTTTGGGGAAAGGGGAAGTACAGGGGAAGGATGGGCAGACATCACATGATACTGAGGTGGAACATGATCCGGCAGCACTTCTTAGAGTGGAAAGAGTAGGGCAAATCATGGCCCCATTGGATCCACCTATGGGTGCAGATTAGTTCTTCCAATCTTTGCTGATGTTCAGATTCCATTCCCAGGAAAGGTGGTTGGTTTTGTCATCATCGGTGAAAAGAGACTTCATGTTATAACAAGCTCTGGCCAACAGGCCTTTTGGAGCCTCCTCTATGGGAGTGAGGAACTCGTACTCCTCCAAACGAGGCCCATAGCTGCCAACCATGTAAGTTGTCTTGTCCACTGTAAAAGAAGGAACAAATCAGGAGACCAGGACAAAGCAGCTAAAACTCATCTTGGTCTTCGCGTTATCCTGCGATTACTTTATTACAAAAGCTCAATTGGAATCATCGCGCCCTATAAACAAGACACTTGAAGAAATATTCACTAAAGGGTGAACTGCTTGGAATAAAATTAATTTAACTGTAATGCCATAATAGTCAAACTCAAAACAAAACCAATTTGGAGAATTTTTCAAAATCAGCTTTTTTTTCTCCAAAATTTCTCTTTGAATTCCTGGCAATTTTCATTTTATTGAATACCTTATTGAACTACAGTAACTGCTGATGGCTACCCCTACTCTACATAAATCATATTTCACACCCAAGTGTTTGACGTTTACAGTAATTTCAGCTTGGAAAAGTATACTTACATTTCACACCTTTTCTACATGTGGTCTGTTGGTATCTCAAGCCAGATACAATTTCCTTGTTTACCTGCAAAGTAAGCCAAAACCAAGATTTAACAAACCACAGGACCTTTTAATTCTTTCTTACAGAGAAGGAATGCAACTGTTAAATGTCGGGGTACGGTCTCCTCTTAAATATTAAAGTAGTTACCATTTCTGATTAAATTATCATGGAAAGCATGCCCACCATCTCTCCAAGATGCAGGAATCAGTGACACATAATTGCTTTTACTGCATTTTATATCAGTTTTACAATAACCAAAAACTGTACATTAAATTTAGAAATATTACGATTCTTCAGAAGGCTTTTTCTGCTAGTTTTAGATTGTAAGTTCTTCAGACACTTTGCCCTATGACAAACATGTTTTGTTCGAATAATTGTTGATTTTTAAAAATCTATTGTACAACACTGTGGAATACGGTGGTATTATAAACCGAATTGTGACAACCCTGAATTTCAACTTTATTCTATCTTAATGTGATGTATAATTTGCATAAAATGTATTTAAAAAAACCTCTCATCTAATACCTTAATAAGAGCTCATACTTATGGTCCTAAACTAACCACGACTTAGAGTTACATGAGACTACAATCAGACATTATACATGGGTACACCTTTTTGATTCTGGTGTGTGAGCGTCAAGTGAGTTATTCCCTTCTTCCAGTGCAATATTTTGGTTATTGATATCCTTAATTTATTTCACAGATTTGGGTTATAGAAGACTCATACATGATTCTGCATTTGTGTATTAATTGCTTGCTAGAAGCGCCAGAAGATAATCTTTAGTAAAGTTTTGGCAACCCTATACCACACCAGGGGTTAATACCGGCACAGAAGCATTAATTAATTAATTACTCAAGCAATACAATGGATTTTAAAGAATTAGCATTGAAATTATTTGTTGGTTGTATTGGAATCGCACGTATAGTTTGCCTCCTACCAAACACAGCTAAATAATTAGCACTGAACGCCACAGGCAGAAGGGAAAACAGATATTTGACGAATTGAATTCACAAGGGCTTAATTTCCTCTTCCAAACTGTCACTGGATAAGTAAATACGTGGAGATAGCAATGCTTGGATGATAACTGTATGAGAGTGAACTTTTAACACAGCTGTTTACAGTTCGTAACTATAGAATATTATTATCCTATCAGGTAAACCTATCCCCGTATGTGCTTTACTTTTACTGGTTGAGGGTACTCCGGTTACAGTAGGTTTCTCACCTTAAAGCTGATTTTAATCCTGTACTCCACACCTTCTTTCAGACAAAAGGACTCCTTCTTAAACTTCTCCAGATCACCTAAAAGCAGAGACAGGTCTTATACACATCTTAAATTAGCATTAGCTTCTCATTTATTTTCACCTTTTGTCCTGGAGGCAAACTGATGAATAATTCCAAAACCTTACCTGTCAGATCCAACTCCAAAGGATGGGGGGCACTTGTACAAACCAAGGTCAGTTTGGTTACAACCACATTGGGAGCATTTGCATCTAAAAGACAAAATCAAAAATTCTATTCAAACATTTGCAGCTCTATGCCCACTAGACCGTGGAGAACATCAAATGCAGAGCACAAGGTTCCCCTTAGCACGGAACAGCATTCTTACCCACAGCACGCGGCAAAGACCCCAGGAGTGCTTCCTTGTATTTTCGCAGACTCTCATCATGCTCATCAAGCTGCTGGATCTCCTGGATGGATTTCTGTGCCGGAGGTCTGTAGTTCACAGAATGTTCTTCCTCTTCATTCTCTGCAGCAATCTGTGCCAGCTGTTCTGCAGTAGGTTCGTGTTCAGCCATGTTTCTCTGTGGGCAAGCTAAGGATAAACAGACCACATTAAGTTTTAGTAACCGGCAGGCACACTAGTTCCCATTTTGCAGTTTATTAGGAAAGCCCTTTGAGCAATCACCCAGTTAAAATGATCATGTGTATGTGAAGCTCTAATGTGGGCTTATTTAAAAATACCGGCTTTCAAGCTCAATCAGGATGAATGGTGATGTAATTTCAGAAAAACTTGGATGTCATAAAGTCCACATTTTCATGAAAATGTTAGGGGGAAAATATTCTCTCTTTTTTGCTTTAATGCCTTAACTTGTTCACCCCAAGTTAAAAGGGTAATCCATACGTGTACCCCGTGCTCACTGTGCCTAGAGGGGCTTCAGCTACACCTCACTGATGAAGCCCAAAAGAAGGCCGAAACGATCATCTGGGGTTGCTGTATCTCTTGTGCAGAGGGAACTTGCTGGCATTTCAGATCTGGACTGCCCGTACGGTTGGGACCAGTCTGATATGCTTTAGATATGTTCTCTCTGTAACGGCACAAGTGAGCAAAAACTATTTTGAGACCTGAGCGGGGATGTACCGAAGGGTAAGCTATTGAGTTTACTCTTAGCTTTTGTCCGTTCTCAGAGTTCCCATTCTTTTGTTGGGGGGAAAATATTATATGCACACTATTACAGAAACGAACGTAACTTAACAATTCATTCACACATAGCCAATTAGTTATATTACTTACAATGGCAATTTCTCCCCTTCTTTCTTTTTGTACTTTGTGAAATGTGATCTAAAGGATGCACCATATCATGTTTATTCTTATAATATAAGGAATTTAAAATAAATAAAAAAGAAGAATCATGTCCACTCTGTCAACTGTCAAGTGATTTTCTACCATAGGTGTGTAAAGTACATGTCTCTGTTACATGTCCCTAGGATACAGTTTCTATGAGTCCAGGACATGGCTGAACACTCTTGTTCTGAATGGCATATCCCCTAAACCTCTGCCCAGCTGCCAACAGTGCTTTCTGGCATATACAGTTCAGTGCACAACCATGGTGCCATCCATTAAAACAATCACTGTGCATAAAAAGTCAGATAATTTCTCCATTAAGGTTTTCTCATAGGCTGAGGAGGTTAGGTGAGGCGCTCGGCAAATAAATGGCTATAAAGCCTGGACAGAATTGATATTGCTAAAGCGGAAGTGCAGCAGCATGTAATGGTTTTGATTCCTAAAACAGGCCTAAAAAGGAGCACTTGTAAAAACTGCAAAGATCCTCTAATTTAACTGAGCATATTTTCAAGTTAAAAAAAAAAACAGACAAGACAGACAATAAACACAATTCTATAAATTAATATCACTGGAGTGCCAACAAGAACCTACCTACTTCTGCAGTTAGGGTAGCATTGACACTCATGTTGCTTTGAAGGCACAGGAATGACGTACAAGTCCACAAATGCTTGTAATTTCCATCCCATGCATGTGCCCGCATATATGCCGCTTTCAAACAGCATGAAGAATCCACACAGGCAGTGGATGGAACCCGGCACACTTACCATTGCTTGAACTTTCACTCGTTAATGGCCGGTTGGCAAATAGACAATTTACACCCATGCTAGTACCCGGATGCGTTATCAACTTCCATTCTTGTAATATATATTGCAATGGCTGCAAACTGAACAGTCCCCAAGAGACAGCAGTAACAGTTACTAAATGTGTGTCAGCCATAATGAAACCAACAGAATCATATTTGGTAGAACATCGTCCCAGAATTGCTTTTGATAAAATATGGTCTAAAACCATAAAGTGGTCAGTAACCCATGGCACTTGGGATGTAACTTCATGGCACACAAGAATGCTGACCCAAATGGGCCAGGGAGGGAGATCAGAGGATCTCCTGGGCCAGGACAGAGTTTCCCAGTGCCTGAGCTGCAAGGGAGCCTTGGTGTTCACCTCCAGATGGTGGAGATACCACAGGGGACTTTCCCTCGCGATACAATGTTGTCAGTGAGTCATGCCATTGCTTCGGGTTACTACTTGTAAAGGGCTGGAACCAAGTTAAAGGGTCTGCGCTCATATAAGAGCCATATCAAAGTAAATTGAACCATAAAACCATCAAGCATGAGGAATCATGCCCCCTCCCTCTTGCCTAGCTCTGGCCTGCATGTTCATTAAAGGACCACTATAGTGCCAGGAAAACATACTAGTTTTCCTGGCACTATAGTGCCCTGAGGGTGCCCCCACCCTCAGGGACCCCCTCCCGCCCGGCTCTGGAAAGGGGAAAGAGGTTAAAACTTACCTTTTTCCAGCACTGGGCGGGGAGCTCTCCTCCTCCCGGAATGCTTACAGCTGCGCCAAGATTCAGCTCACATAGGAAAGCGCACAACGCTCTTGCTATGCTCTCACTGTGAAAATCACAGTGAGAAGCACGCAAGCGCCTCTAGTGGCTGTCAATGAGACAGCCACTAGAGGAAATAGGGGAAGGCTTAACCCATTCACAAACATAGTAGTTTCTCTGAAACTGCTATGTTTATGAAAAAATGGGTTAACCCTAGCTGGACCAGGCACCCAGACCACTTCATTAAGCTGAAGTGGTCTGGGTGCCTAGAGTGGTCCTTTAATGGTGGTAAAAAACAATAAGCTACAATATGTTTATAACAAAGAGCCCCCCAATGCAAACACCCCCACAAAACATATATCATACTACAGACAGTCCCCCCACACGCAACACAAAGCACCACAGACAGCCAATACTACAAGCAACCCACAAGTACAAATTTAAAGGGATACTATAGTCACAAGAACAACTGATTGCATTTGTTCTTGTGAGTACAATCCTTCCCTTCAGGCTTTTTGCAGTAAACACTGTGTTTTCAGAGAAAATGCAGAGTTTACATAACAGCCTAGTGATAATTCCACTGGCCACTCCTCAGATGGCTGCTATGAGGATATGCTGATTGACCAGGGCTGTGTGTGGCTTGTGCTGGCTATGCCTCCTTACCAGTCTCAGCCAATCCTATGGGGAAGCATTGTGATTGTCTCACAGAATCACTTCTGATGATTTCATCTGTAAGCAGGAAGATCAGGAGCAGACTGGAATTCAAGTAAGATTTCACTATATTTAGAGGGGCTAGATGGTGGTTTTAACATTATAGGGACAGGAATGCATGTTTTGTCTGCTATGTTTCACTGAGGGTTAATCCAGCCTCTAGTGGCTGTCTCACTGACAGTCACTAGAGGCCACTTCCACAGTGTCTCACTGACAGTCACTAGAGGCCACTGAAAATCACAGTGAGAAGACGCTGACGTCCATAGGAAAGCATTGAGTAATGCTTTCCTATGGACTGACTGAATGCGCGCACGGCTCTTGCCGCGCATGGGCATTCAGCCGATGACATCTGCAGGAGGAGGAGAGTTCCCCAGCGCCGAGGGAGCCTGGCGCTGGATCAAGGTAAGTGGCTGAAGGGGTTTTAACCTGGAACGAGTTTGTTTTCCTGGCACTATAGTGGTCCTTTAAGGTCCTTTTTCAAGAATAATGTAATTGCAACAGTTAAAAAATATAACCTATTACCAGCAGCTGGACCAGTGTTATGGAATAAGCACAACATTTCCATTGACAACAATAAGAGAACACAGGATTTCCTGACCTCTTCAAAGGATGCTGATGAAGAGGTGAGCTTTATTAACTCCTCATTTCCATAATTAATTCTGAAAGGATTTATAATCATGCTAAGAATGCCCCATTCAATATTTTATTTAAATAGTGTGTTAACACTGTACTCACTATAACAAATTTATCTTGATGAAGCTGTTATAGTTCCTACATTTGTTCCCACTTCCTAAATCGCCCCAAAGCAGTTGTTTATTAATTAGAAGCATGTTTTAAAACCATGCCTCCAAAGCCTCTGGTTTTCAAAAAGTCTGGCTCTCGCACTCTAACATACCGTGACATCATGTACGCATGCCCAGTTCCATCACGGTCTCCCATAGAGAATCATGCAATGAGCGAGAACCACGCATGCGCCTAGGTTCCATAATGTCCTCTATGAGGAGCATTGGATTGGCCCGTTATCATGCCCCAAGGGGACGTTAATGCTAGAAGGAGACTCTGCGCTGGAGAAAAGGGGAGTAATTTGATTATTTCTGTTTTGTTTCTAATTAGAGGGCATTGGGGGCTGAAATTCTAAAGGACATCAGGACTATAGCATTAGGAATACAGATATGTGTTCCTTTAATATAATTTAAGGAAAGAAATTAAAACACAGACAGGGTTATACGTTATAGTCACAATTTAAGCAATATAAACCAAATGTGCAAAATTCTCCACTTCAACTCTAGTCATAGACTGGCTACTTAAAGGGGTACTCCAAGCACTATGACCACTTCAAATTGCTACGAAACACTGCACATATAAAGTTTAACCCTTCCGCTGCTGGAGGTGTAACATTGGGGCATCTTTAGCCAGTCAGCCTGGAACAAGATTTCTGGGTGAGTAATGTTAATTGTCTGCATACTGATCATCTGTTATCAGCAAGCACATAAGACTTCCAATGGTGGTCTCCCCCCTCACCCCCCAGTCCATCCTCCCTGACATCCCTACATTTCAAGTGAATTGGAGTTATGCCAAGAGAGGAAGATCAGGCTGCAAGGAGAACTTGGCCTTGAAACTAGAATAGAAGGTACATTTTACACAATTTCTCCCATTAAAGGACCACTATAGGCACCCAGACCACTTCAGCTTAATGAAGTGGTCTGGGTGCCTGGTCCAGCTAGGTTTAACCTTTTTTGCTGTAAACATAGTTTCAGAGAAACTGCTATGTTTACCTATGGGTTAATCCAGCCTGTAGTGGCTGTCTTCACAGTGAGAAGATGCCAGCGTCCATAGGAAAGCATTGAGAATGCTTTCCTATGGACTGGTTGAATGTGCGTGTGGCTCTTGCCGAGCATGCGCATTCAGCCAGGGACGTCAGAAAAGGGAGGAGAGTCCCAGCGCCGAGGGAGCCCGGCGCTGGAAAAAAGGTAAGGGATTAACCCCTTCCTCCCCCTTCAGTGCCACGGGAGTGGGACCCTGAGGGTGGGGACACCCTCAGGACACTATAGTGCCAGGAAAACGAGTATGTTTTCCTGGCACTATAGTAGTCCTTTAAGGAGTACTGTACTGTAGTACAGTAATGGTTGCTCAAAAACAATGTTTTCTTATAAAGCAATCAATACCCAAAGTGCAAAATTCGCCAATGAAACAGTTGTTAGAGTTTGGCTGCCTGTACAATTTGGATTTTGGTTCACTTAAAGGGACACTATAGTCACCCAGACCACTTCAGCTCAATGAAGTGGTCTGGGTGCCAGGTCCCTCAGGTTTTAACCCTTCAGATGCAAACCTAGCAGTTTCAGAGAAACCGGACAGCCACTAGAGGCGCATCTGCGACGCTGGAGGCATATTATGCCTCCATCGCGCAGAGCATCCATAGGGAAGCATTGAGAAATGCTTTCCTATGGACAATATGAATGCGCGCACGGCACTTGCCGCGCATGCGGCTCCGCTGACGTGGGACGGGGGAGCTGATGTCAGCTGGGGGAGGAGAGGTCACCTGCGCCAAGGGAGAACGGCGCTGGATTGAGGTTAGTGGCTGAAGGGGTTTTAACCCCTTCAGCGCCACGGGAGGGGGACCCTGAGAATGGGGGCACCCTCAGGGCACTATAGTGTCAGGAAAATCGCTTTGTTTTTCTGACACTATAGTGATCCTTTAAATTCAAGCTTAGTAAGAGGCCCTAAAGGAATAATAAATATATATATCTTGTATTGTTTAGCTAGTCTAATTTCTTTCAAACAGACACGGTCTATGCAACCAAAGTACAAGAACGATCAAAACAATATTCAAATGATCAAATTCTAGTCTTCCTTTTATCATTACTACACATGTTATTGTTGCAATACTGGCAGCGTGCCTTTTGTGAAGATAGTTTTAATAAAAAAGGGGAAGTAAGGCAATCTCTAGTGAAATGGTGGTATTGAAAAGCCACAAAATATCCTAATCTGTCAGCAGCACACTATGTGATTCCACAGAGATAACTGGGGTTGCATTATTTACCATTTTACACTAATAAACTGGACAGATAGTATAGAAATTGATGGCTACAGAGATCAGTAGATAATACAGATTACTATAAATGCAATCTACCACTATATATCTATCATAATATACAAACATGCAGACACATTATTATCCAAACATTTTTTGGGGAGATTATGCACACTGTCAGTAGCAGGATGGGTGTGGGTATTACATTACTGAACACACTAGATCAGGGGTGCCCAGAAAGTAAAACCCCAGATGTTTCCAAATTACAGATTCCATGATGCTGTGTCATTCTAAAGGCATGCAAAGCATCATGGGAGTTGAAGTTCTGGGGATCTACATTTTGGGCACCGCTGCATTAGATGACTGATTCCATTTTAACACGATAAGGCACACATATATTTATTATTTTGTGTTGTCATAATAGTGTAAGTAATGTATATTGGTGACCTGAAAGGTGGCAATAGGAGTTTTGTATAGACCCAGAGCACTCCCACAAATACAGGAAGAGACAGAATTAATATTTTGGGTGTATATCTCCAGTGACAAGTTGTACTGTAGAGGTAGACAATGTATATTCACATAGTGGGCCACTGAGTGCTGAAGCAGATAGTGCATATAAATTGCCCATCACCGGCGGCATCGCTCACTGCTGATTTCCAAATTGCTTCAGGAAGCTAAGATCTGCACATGAACTGTGGTTTCGGTAGTTTGAATTAGCAACCCACTAGAATGCTCCAAAATGGGACATGGACCCAATGTCGAAATTCAACGTTTTAAGGAAGAATAAAAACCCGGAAATTACCGTGTCTCAAATTTGCCTATTTAGCATCCACTGAGCATAATTTGGGGGATTTTATCACATGTACAAAATACCCAGCATTTTGACATTAATTGGAAAAAAAAAATGGCAGCAAGTCAAAGGAACACTTTAGTCACCAGAACAACAACAGCTTAATGCAGTTGTTCTATTGTTCATAGTATGTCCCAGCAGGCTTTTTAATATAAACGCTGCCTTATCAGAGAAAAGGCAGTGTTTACAGCACAGCCTAAGAACAACTCTAATGACAGTCACTCAGATAGGTGGGTCAGACGTTTAGTGTCTCAATGCTCTGCATGGAGGCGATAAATGTTCCTCATAGAAATGGAGTGATTCAATGCATCCCTATGAGGAGATGCTGATTGGCACAGTGCGGCGGTTTGCTGTGCATGCGCAATAGCCTCCCAATGCTTTCTTATGGAAAAGCATTGGATTGGAGGAGATCATCAAGTTTGATGATCTTAGTCAAGGGGGCGGAGTCAGCAGAGGAGACTCACACATAAAATCACCTTTTTAACAGGGGACAAGGGGAGCTGGGGACTTTAACCCCTTAAGGACACATGACATGTGTGACATGTCATGATTCCCTTTTATTCCAGAAGTTTGGTCCTTAAGGGGTTAAAGGCACTATTAGAAGTGTAGTGTCAGGAACACATGTATGTATTCCTGACACTATACTGTTCCTTTCAGGCACAATGTAGACCATATGAGTTACAAAGGAGTGTCACAATTTCGAACAGTCAACCTGCTATAATGCCCAAAATGAGACATAGGCCCATTAATATGTCTCACAATTCTACTGGTAAATCTGAAATGGCCAGGTCTGCTATCTGGCACAGTAGTTTCACAGAATTGTGCCAAAAGCATACATTGGGGGTATAGTTGTACTCAGCAGATGTAGCTGAACACAATATGATGTTTTGTACAGAAATAGCACACACCAGCTTTACGAAATGCACATTAAAAAAACCTTACATTTATATTATGTTTACAGTGGTAGATATCTGTAACAACGTTACATACTTTCAATGATAGAGTAAAGTAATAATCCAGCACTGTAAACATTCTATAAATCTATTAATCCAGCACTGTAAACATTAAATAAATCTTTTTATAAAACATTTTACAGTGACAGATTAATAGTTTAATTAATTTACACAATACTTACAGTGATGGCTAAAACAAATGTATATAATGTTTATAGTGATCGATTAATAGATATATATGATATTTACAGGTAGATTAACAGATTTACATAAAATTTACATTAATAGATTTATGTAATGTTTACAGTTAGATTAAGAGATTTATATAATATTTACATTAATAGATTTATGTAATGTTTACAGTTAGATTAATAGATTTATATATTTACAGTTAGATGAACAGATGTATATAATATTTACATTAATAGATTTATATATTTACAGTTAGATTAAAAGATTTATATCTTTAGAGTGATGGATTAATAGTTATATAATATTTACAGTTAGATTAACAGATTGATATAATATTTACAGAGATGGATTAATAGGTTTATATGGCATTTGTAGCGATGGATTAATAGATTGATACATTTGATAAAGTCATGGATTAATAGTTATATAATATTTACAGAGATGGATTAATAGGTTTATATGACATTTGTAGTGATGGATTAATAGATTGATTTAATATTAAACCGATGGACTAACAGATTGATATATTTGATAAAGTGATGGATTAATAGATTTACACATTATTTACACTGAGATTAATGATTGATATATTATATTTGATAGGCACGGATAAAGTGACAAATTTGTAGATTAAAGGACCACTATAGTGCCAGGAAAACATACTCGTTTTTCTGGCACAATAGTGCCCTGAGGGTCCCCCACCCGCCGGGCTCTGGGGGGAGGAAGGGGTTAAATTTACCTATTTCTCCAGCGCCGGGCGGGGAGCTCTCCTCCTTCTCTCCTCCTCTTCAGCTGAATGCGCATGAGCGGCAGGAGCTGCGCGCGCATTCAGCCATTGTGAATGCTTTCCTATGGACGCTGGCGTCTTCTCACTGTGAAAATCACAGTGAGAAGCGGGGAAGCCCTCTAGCGGCTGTCAATGAGACAGCCACTAGAGGCTTGATTAACCCTAATATAAACATAGCAGTTTCTCTAAAACTGCTATGTTTATAGAAAAAAGGGTTAACCCTTGCTGGACCAGGCACCCAGACCACTTCATTAAGCTGAAGTGGTCTGGGTGCCTATAGTGGTCCTTTCATATCAGATAAAGTGACGGATTAATATATTAATATAATATTTACAGTTCAATAAATATATTAGATAAAGTGACGGATTAATATATTGCTATAATATTTACAGTTTAATAAATATAATATTAGACAAAGTGACAGATTAATAGATTGGTATAATATTTAGTTAGATTAATTGATTGATATAAAATAAAGTGACAGATCTCCTCCAAGCTGAGTGGTGGGTGGATTAATATATTATTTATATATAGTATTATACAAAGTGACAGGTTCATATATTTATACAACATTTACATTAAAGCAGGGCTTCACCAATCTCAGGCTCCAGGCTGCCATGGCGACTAGGAATTCTGTCGCACATGGAATTTCTCAACCCGTTCAGCGGAAGCGGGTTGGCAAGGGAGCATGGAGGCAACCTGCACAAGGTGAATGTGGGCGGCAAGGGAGGGAGTTGAACTCTTCCTGCTCTGCTCTCTTGTGCACCCTGCAGGTATGCAGGAATATGATGTCGCTCCGTCTCCGGCATCACTAAATAGTGCTCTAGGAAGAAGAGCAAGAAAAAGCTACCTCCCGAGGGAAAGGACCTATTCCAGCTCTCCTAAAGGTAGGTTGGCTTGGTGGACATAAAGTAAAATAAACGTTATTAATAGTTTGTGAGAAAATGTGTGTGTGTCTATCTGTCAGTGAACGTGTGTGCGTATCTGTCATTGCACATGTCAGAGTCAGTTTAAGTGACTGCCCCACCCACCCGATCGCATGGGAAAGGAGTTTTTATTCACCTTTTTACCCCCCAATGCCGTGCTGGTTTTGCCACCTCTTTGGCTGAGATGATCAATCTTGATGATCTCAGCCATTGGGAGGCTGTTGCACATGTGCTAATCAGCTTCTCCTCATAGACATGCACTGAATCAATTAATCTCTATGGGGAGTATTCAGAGCATGGAGATGCTGAATGTAGGCGCTGCACACTGTAGAGCACTACACTAGGAAGCACGTCTAGCAGATGTCTCTGTGACTGCCACAAGAGGTGTTACTAGGCAGCAATGTAAACACTGCCTTTTTTTTTTTTTTAAGGTAGTGTTTACATTGAAAAGCTTGCAGGGACAAGGTATAGACACCAGAACCACTACATTAAGCTACGGTGTATATGGTGACCTTTTAAGAATTTAATTTTCATTGAAAATTAAGATTTTTATGAGCTGGCTCCTATACTCCAAGCAAATATGTCAAGCCCTGCACTAAAAGATTAATAGAATATTTACAGTTAGATTGAAATAATATCAGATAAAGTGACAGATTATATTGATAGATTTACAGTTAGATTAATATAATATTTTATAAAGTGACAGGTTTTCTCTCCCAGCTCAGTGATTAATGATGGATATAATATATTTATAATAATGGGTTACTATATTATATTATTATATAATGACAGGTTTCCCCTCCCAGCTCAGTGATTAATGATGGATATAATATAATATATTTATAATAATGGGTTACTATATTATATTATTATATATGACAGGTTTCCCCTCCCAGCTCAGTGATTAATGATGGATATAATATAATATATTTATAATAATGGGTTACTATATTATATTATTATATATTGACAGGTTTCCCCTCCCAGCTCAGTGATTAATGATGGATATAATATATTTATAATAATGGGTTACTATATTATATTATTATATATTGACAGGTTTCCCCTCCCAGCTCAGTGATTAATGATGGATATAATATATTTATAATAATGGGTTACTATATTATATTATTATTATATAATGACAGGTTTCCACTCCCAGCTCAGTGATTAATTATGGATATAATATATTTATAATAATGGGTTACTAAATTATATTATTATATAATGACAGGTTTCCCCTCCCCGCTCAGTGATTAATGATGGATATAATATAATATATTTATAATAATGGGTTACTATATTATATTATTATATAATGACAGGTTTCCCCTCCCAGCTCAGTGATTAATGATGGATATAATATAATATATTTATAATAATGGGTTACTATATTATATTATTATATAATGACAGGTTTCCCCTCCCCGCTCAGTGATTAATGATGGATATAATATAATATATTTATAATAATGGGTTACTATATTATATTATTATATAATGACAGGTTTCCCCTCCCAGCTCAGTGATTAATGATGATATAATATATTTATAATAATGGGTTACTATATTATATTATTATATAATGACAGGTTTCCACTCCCAGCTCAGTGATTAATGATGGATATAATATATTTATAATAATGGGTTACTATATTATATTATTATATAATGACAGGTTTCCACTCCCAGCTCAGTGATTAATGATGGATATAATATAACATTTATAATAATGGGTTACTATATTATATTATTAAATAATGACAGGTTTCCCCTCCCCGCTCAGTGATTAATGATGGATATAATATAATATATTTATAATAATGTGTTACTATATTATATTATTATATAATGACAGGTTTCCCCTCCCAGCTCAGTGATTAATGATGGATATAATATATTTATAATAATGGGTTACTATATTATATTATTATATAATGACAGGTTTCCACTCCCAGCTCAGTGATTAATGATGGATATAATATATTTATAATAATGGGTTACTGTATTATATTATTATATAATGACAGGTTTCCTCTCCCAGCTCAGTGATTAATGATGGATATAATAATATACATATTTATAACAATGTACATTATATTATATTACATATATAATGACAGGTTTCCACTCTTCAGTGATTAATGTATTGATATAATATATTTATAATAATGGTTACTATATTATATTATTATATAAATTTATTGCATCTCCCCTCACAGTGAGATTAATGATGGATATAATATATTTATAATAATGGGTTACTATATTATATTATTATATAATGACAGGTTTCCCCTCCCAGCTCAGTGATTAATTATGGATATAATATAATATATTTATAATAATGGGTTACTATATTATATTATTATATAATGACAGGTTTCCCCTCCCCGCTCAGTGATTAATGATGGATATAATATAATATATTTATAATAATGGGTTACTATATTATATTATTATATAATGACAGGTTTCCACTCCCAGCTCAGTGATTAATGATGGATATAATATATTTATAATAATGGGTTACTATATTATATTATTATGATATAATGACAGGTTTCCCCTCCCAGCTCAGTGATTAATGATGGATATAATATATTTATAATAATGGGTTACTATATTATATTATTATTATTATATAATGACAGGTTTCCCCTCCCCGCTCAGTGATTAATGATGGATATAATATATTTATAATAATGGGTTACTGTATTATATTATTATATAATGACAGGTTTCCACTCCCAGCTCAGAGATTAATGATGGATATAATATAATATATTTATAATAATGGGTTACTATATTATATTATTATTATATAATGACAGGTTTCCACTCCCAGCTCAGTGATTAATGATGGATATAATATAATATATTTATAATAATGGGTTACTATATTATATTATTATATATTGACAGGTTTCCCCTCCCAGCTCAGTGATTAATTATGGATATAATATATTTATAATAATGGGTTACTATATTATATTATTATATAATGACAGGTTTCCCCTCCCAGCTCAGTGATTAATGATGGATATAATATATTTATAATAATGGGTTACTGTATTATATTATTATATAATGACAGGTTTCCCCTCCCAGCTCAGTGATTAATGATGGATATAATATATTTATAATAATGGGTTACTATATTATATTATTATTATATAATGACAGGTTTCCACTCCCAGCTCAGTGATTAATGATGGATATAATATATTTATAATAATGGGTTACTATATTATATTATTATATAATGACAGGTTTGCACTCCCAGCTCAGTGATTAATGATGGATATAATATATTTATAATAATGGGTTACTATATTATATAATTATATAATGACAGGTTTCCCCTCCCAGCTCAGTGATTAATGATGGATATAATATAATATATTTATAATAATGTGTTACTATATTATATTATTATATAATGACAGGTTTCCACTCCCAGCTCAGTGATTAATGATGGATATAATATATTTATAATAATGTGTTACTATATTATATTATTATATAATGACAGGTTTCCTCCCAGCTCGGTGATTAATGATGGATATAATATATTTTATAATAATGGGTTACTATATTATATTATTATATAATGAAAGGTTTCCACTCACGTCAGTGATTAATGATGGATATAATATATTTATAATATTGGGTTTACTATATTATATTGTTATATAATGACAAGGTTTCCCTCCAGCTCAGTGATTAATGATGGATATAATATATTTATAATAATGGAGTTTACTATATTATATTATTATTGTTATATAATGACGGGTTCCCCTCAGCTCAGTGATTAATGATGGATATAATATATTTATAATAATGGAGTTTTTGCTATATTATATTATTATATAATGTGGGTTTCCCTCCCAGCTCAGTGATTAATGATGGATATAATATATTATGGCATTTATAATAATGGGTTACTGGAATTATATTATTATATAATGACAGGTTTCCACTCCCAGCTCAGTGATTAATGATGGATATAATATATTTATAATAATGGGTTACTGTATTATATTATTATATAATGACAGGTTTCCCCTCCCAGCTCAGTGATTAATGATGGATATAATATATAATATATTTATAATAATGGGTTACTATATTATATTATTATTATATAATGACAGGTTTCCCCTCCCAGCTCAGTGATTAATGATGGATATAATATATTTATAATAATGTGTTACTATATTATATTATTATATAATGACAGGTTTCCCCTCCCAGCTCAGTGATTAATGATGGATATAATATATTTATAATAATGGGTTACTGTATTATATTATTATATAATGACAGGTTTCCACTCGCAGCTCAGTGATTAATGATGGATATAATATATTTATAATAATGGGTTACTATATTATATTATTATATAATGACAGGTTTCCACTCCCAGCTCAGTGATTAATGATGGATATAATATATTTATAATAATGGGTTACTATATTATATTATTATTATATAATGACAGGTTTCCCCTCCCAGCTCAGTGATTAATGATGGATATAATATATTTATAATAATGGGTTACTATATTATATTATTATTATATAATGACAGGTTTCCCCTCCCCGCTCAGTGATTAATGATGGATATAATATATTTATAATAATGGGTTACTGTATTATATTATTATATAATGACAAGTTTCCACTCCCAGCTCAGAGATTAATGATGGATATAATATAATATATTTATAATAATGGGTTACTATATTATATTATTATTATATAATGACAGGTTTGCACTCCCAGCTCAGTGATTAATGATGTATATAATATAATATATTTATAATAATGGGTTACTATATTATATTATTATATAATGACAGGTTTCCCCTCCCCGCTCAGTGATTAATGATGGATATAATATAATATATTTATAATAATGGGTTACTATATTATATTATTATATAATGACAGGTTTCCCCTCCCCGCTCAGTGATTAATGATGGATATAATATATTTATAATAATGGGTTACTATATTATATTATTATATAATGAAAGGTTTCCACTCCCAGCTCAGTGATTAATGATGGATATAATATAATATATTTATAATAATGGGTTACTATATTATATTATTATATAATGACAGGTTTCCCCTCCCAGCTCAGTGATTAATGATGGATATAATATAATATATTTATAACAATGGGTTACTATATTATATTATTATATAATGACAGGTTTCCCCTCCCCGCTCAGTGATTAATGATGGATATAATATAATATATTTATAATAATGGGTTACTATATTATATTATTATATAATGACAGGTTTCCACTCCCAGCTCAGTGATTAATGATGGATATAATATAACATATTTATAATAATGGGTTACTATATTATATTATTATATAATGACAGGTTTCCCCTCCCAGCTCAGTGATTAATGATGGATATAATATATTTATAATAATGGGTTACTGTATTATATTATTATATAATGACAGGTTTCCACTCCCAGCTCAGTGATTAATGATGGATATAATATATTTATAATAATGGGTTACTGTATTATATTATTATATAATGACAGGTTTCCCCTCCCAGCTCAGTGATTAATGATGGATATAATATAATATATTTATAATAATGTGTTACTATATTATATTATTATATAATGACAGGTTTCCACTCCCAGCTCAGTGATTAATGATAGATATAATATATTTATAATAATGGGTTACTATATTATATTATTATATAATGACAGGTTTCCACTCCCAGCTCAGTGATTAATGATGGATATAATATAATATATTTATAATAATGGGTTACTATATTATATTATTATATAATGACAGGTTTCCACTCCCAGCTCAGTGATTAATGATGGATATAATATATTTATAATAATGGGTTACTATATTATATTATTATGATATAATGACAGGTTTCCCCTCCCAGCTCAGTGATTAATGATGGATATAATATATTTATAATAATGGGTTACTATATTATATTATTATTATATAATGACAGGTTTCCACTCCCAGCTCAGTGATTAATGATGGATATAATATATTTATAATAATGGGTTACTATATTATATTATTATATAATGACAGGTTTCCACTCCCCGCTCAGTGATTAATGATGGATATAATATATTTATAATAATGGGTTACTATATTATATTATTATATAATGACAGGTTTCCCCTCCCAGCTCAGTGATTAATGATGGATATAATATATTTATAATAATGGGTTACTATATTATATTATTATTATATAATGACAGGTTTCCCCTCCCAGCTCAGTGATTAATGATGGATATAATATATTTATAATAATGGGTTATATATTATATTATTATTATATATTGACAGGTTTCCCCTCAGCTCAGTGATTAATGATGGATATAATATATTTATAATAATGGGTTACTATATTATATTATTATTATATAATGACAGGTTTCCCCTCCCAGCTCAGTGATTAATGATGGATATAATATATTTATAATAATGGGTTACTATATTATATTATTATTATATAATGACAGGTTTCCACTCCCAGCTCAGTGATTAATGATGGATATAATATATTTATAATAATGGGTTACTATATTATATTATTATTATATAATGACAGGTTTCCACTCCCAGCTCAGTGATTAATTATGGATATAATATATTTATAATAATGGGTTACTAAATTATATTATTATATAATGACAGGTTTCCCCTCCCCGCTCAGTGATTAATGATGGATATAATATAATATATTTATAATAATGGGTTACTATATTATATTATTATATAATGACAGGTTTCCCCTCCCAGCTCAGTGATTAATGATGGATATAATATATTTATAATAATGGGTTACTATATTATATTATTATTATATAATGACAGGTTTCCCCTCCCAGCTCAGTGATTAATGATGGATATAATATATTTATAATAATGTGTTACTATATTATATTATTATATAATGACAGGTTTCCCCTCCCAGCTCAGTGATTAATGATGGATATAATATATTTATAATAATGGGTTACTGTATTATATTATTATATAATGACAGGTTTCCACTCGCAGCTCAGTGATTAATGATGGATATAATATATTTATAATAATGGGTTACTGTATTATATTATTATATAATGACAGGTTTCCCCTCCCAGCTCAGTGATTAATGATGGATATAATATATTTATAATAATGGGTTACTATATTATATTATTATTATTATATAATGACAGGTTTCCCCTCCCAGCTCAGTGATTAATGATGGATATAATATATTTATAATAATGGGTTACTATATTATATTATTATTATATAATGACAGGTTTCCACTCCCAGCTCAGAGATTAATGATGGATATAATATAATATATTTATAATAATGGGTTACTATATTATATTATTATTATATAATGACAGGTTTGCACTCCCAGCTCAGTGATTAATGATGGATATAATATAATATATTTATAATAATGGGTTACTATATTATATTATTATATAATGACAGGTTTCCCCTCCCCGCTCAGTGATTAATGATGGATATAATATATTTATAATAATGGGTTACTATATTATATTATTATATAATGACAGGTTTCCCCTCCCCGCTCAGTGATTAATGATGGATATATATTATATTTAATATTTAGTTTACTATATTATATTATTATTATTATATATATAATGACGGGTTTCTCGGTACGGTGATTAATGATGGATATAATATATTTATAATAATGGGTTACTATATTATATTATTATATAATGACAGGTTTCCCCTCCCCGCTCAGTGATTAATGATGGATATAATATAATATATTTATAATAATGGGTTACTATATTATATTATTATATAATGACAGGTTTCCACTCCCAGCTCAGTGATTAATGATGGATATAATATAACATATTTATAATAATGGGTTACTATATTATATTATTATATAATGACAGGTTTCCCCTCCCAGCTCAGTGATTAATGATGGATATAATATATTTATAATAATGTGTTACTATATTATATTATTATATAATGACAGGTTTCCCCTCCCAGCTCAGTGATTAATGATGGATATAATATATTTATAATAATGGGTTACTATATTATATTATTATTATATAATGACAGGTTTCCACTCCCAGCTCAGTGATTAATTATGGATATAATATATTTATAATAATGGGTTACTAAATTATATTATTATATAATGACAGGTTTCCCCTCCCCGCTCAGTGATTAATGATGGATATAATATAATATATTTATAATAATGGGTTACTATATTATATTATTATATAATGACAGGTTTCCCCTCCCAGCTCAGTGATTAATGATGGATATAATATAATATATTTATAACAATGGGTTACTATATTATATTATTATATAATGACAGGTTTCCCCTCCCCGCTCAGTGATTAATGATGGATATAATATAATATATTTATAATAATGGGTTACTATATTATATTATTATATAATGACAGGTTTCCCCTCCCAGCTCAGTGATTAATGATGGATATAATATAATATATTTATAATAATGTGTTACTATATTATATTATTATATAATGACAGGTTTCCACTCCCAGCTCAGTGATGGGCGGGGCCCCTGAGAGCCGCCTCCCCCGGTGTTTTGGGCCCCCCCACTCACCGGTCCCGGTCCCGGTTCGGTCCCCGCTGTCTCTGCTCCCACCCTCAGGAATGGCGAATGAAGGTCCGGCCACGCCCCGCCGCGCGCTCCCCTCACCACTTCCGGCAGACGAACCACATCCGGCGCGGACGCCATCTTGCTACACCCCTAGCTGACGAGCGGGGTGCGACCAAAATATATCAATTCGAGGGGCCGGCAAGCTTACCGAAAGCGCTGCCACGGCGGGGAGATCACGGTTTAAACGTGTCGGTGGTGTCTCTCCGGCGACCCTCATTACCGCCCCCCCCCCCAGCGGCCGGGAGTACCAAGATGGCGGCGGGTTGTGACGTCACTGGTGCGCGCACTGGGTGGGAAGTGGCTGATGGAGCGCCCGTGCTGCCATTCAACCTTGTGCCGGCCGGGAAGGGAAATGTGAGATTACACCGGCCATTAGTCATCCTACAGGGAAACCCAGTGTGAGAACCATTACAGCCTGGTGCAGTGGTTATGGTGCTTCACCCTCCAGGGGTAACCATTTATAAATTAGGGCACAATCCAGGCACCATGAGAGACTGGCACAGCCTGGTGCAGTGGTTATGGTGCTTCACCCTCCAGGGGTAACCATTTATAAATTAGGGCACAATCCAGGCACCATGAGAGACTGGCACAGCCTGGTGCAGTGGTTTTGGTGCTTCACCCTCCAGGGGTAACCATTTATAAATTAGGGCACAATCCAGGCACCATGAGAGACTGGCACAGCCTGGTGCAGTGGTTTTGGTGCTTCACCCTCCAGGGGTAACCATTTATAAATTAGGGCACAATACAGGCACCATGAGAGACTGGCACAGCCTGGTGCAGTGGTTTTGGTGCTTCACCCTCCAGGGGTAACCATTTATAAATTAGGGCACAATCCAGGCACCATGAGAGACTGGCACAGCCTGGTGCAGTGGTTTTGGTGCTTCACCCTCCAGGGGTAACCATTTATAAATTAGGGCACAATCCAGGCACCATGAGAGACTGGCACAGCCTGGTGCAGTGGTTTGGTGCTTCACCCTCCAGGGGTAACCATTTATAAATTAGGGCACAATCCAGGCACCATGAGAGACTGGCACAGCCTGGTGCAGTGGTTTTGGTGCTTCACCCTCCAGGGGTAACCATTTATAAATTAGGGCACAATCCAGGCACCATGAGAGACTGGCACAGCCTGGTGCAGTGGTGATGGTGCTTCACCCTCCAGGGGTAATCATTTATAAAATAGGGCACCATGAGAGACTGGTATGTCCTTTCAATTATTTCAGGTTTGTTCATCCAGACTAAAGCGCTGCAGAATTTGTTGGCACTGTATAAACCACCCACAGCTGTCTGACAATGACTGGTCCAGAAATTGTGTAAACCCCCTTAAATTGTCACAAGTCCAGAAATGTGTGGCAGGGTGAGGGTGTGCAAAATGTGCAGCCTCATTTTGTTATACGGTTTACAAATCTTCTCATGACACCCAAAGCCTATTGACACCATGACCACTACACCAAACTGCAGTGTTTTTAGTACCAAAACATAGCTTCAATTATTCCTGTTCTTTGATGTACCAAAAAAAAGGTTGCTTCAGTACAGCCATTTAGCTGACCCACTTTTGAGAGTCCATCTACAAAGTAACTTGTTTCTCAATTATTTCATATGTAGGTCCTAGTGTGTCAAATGGAGCAGCGGGCCCTGTCTTCTAAGTTTATTGTAACAGTATGTTAGTTGTAGTTTGGGATTTATGAGGAAAATTAGCCTTTTTACACTTTATACAAAGGAAGTTGTGGTGTCAAGCTAGTGACCACTGTATTATACACATCAGATGGTGATAGAATAAGGGCATTTTACAATACCCTGACTTGCCACCAATGCATCATCAATTCACACCCATCCAAATGTTTAGTTTATACAAGGACCAATTGAACAAAGGTGTGAAAAAAATGTTTTATTACACCAATCCTCAGGTTTATTAATAGGACATGTAGTGTAAAAAGTACACTCAGACCTCATACAAGCACTAAACTGTAAAAGTCACCACCAATGATCAGTGTAGATCACACAACATTTAGGTCTGGCATTTTCCACCCAAAATATTGTAGTTCATTGGATATATCTGAAGATTAGGCCCCTGATTGGTACAGTGAAAATACTATTTCCATAGAAATTCAACTTTGATTATAACACATTTGTAGCTTTTGCAAGCAGTTTGTACATACAGGATAAATTAAAACACATGAATGTCTACTAAATACAGAACTGTTCTTACATTTAACCAGTAATGTTTCCCTTTGAAGACCCAAGCAACTCAGCATGTTTTACATGGCATCTCAATCAGTATTTGTGTTGGATAAGAGCACTAATCACACTTCAGACAGTTTATTCTTTTAGTAAACATTTTCAAAGAGAAGATATGATTGGGAGTTCAAGTTCAATAAACCATTGACATTTCCCTACCCAGTACAGCAAGGTTTGTAAGTGTCACTACAAAATATAGTTTGCCATTACACCAGTAGTTGGTCAAGGAAACCCCAAATGATCGTTTACTGCAGTTTAGCAGAACAACCACAGAAGAGATTATATGAACAAATAAAACGAGAAACACAAGATGCAGACCCAGTGGCGTTTAATGGTCAATACTTATATGCCTGTATCATGGAATAGGGACAGTTTGATATAAAGAGCATTTTACATTGGCACAATGCACTAACCAGGGATAACCCCCTATCTTAAACTTCCAACTGCACTGGACATGCTGATCCCTTACCAAAAGAACAGTGACAAAACAAACATTGAGGTTGTTTTATTTAGTAAGGGTGGAGGGGGTTAAGGGGAGAATAATTAAAAAATCCTGCATATAACACTCAACCAGTAAAATTCATCCAGAAAATGTATACAAAACAGGTCTGCTAATGTAAGAAAGAAAATGTATGCAACTTTACATGAGTTTAAAACCCTATCAGAAATAAAAGCAAAAAAACAGTCCGTACGTAGAAAGTTTCAGAGCCAACACAGGAAAACACGAGTACAGATTAGCTGGTATCCATCTGTGGAGGAAATATAAAATACAAGTTACACAAAATAAATTTACATACTTTGCAGCAGTTCTAAATCCCACCCACATGCTACAGCAGCTGTCCAGAGAAAAGCTACAATACTAAATATGGCAACACCCACTGTGCTGGAACTAGATATAGGCACCAAGTCAAAGTTACTAGTTGGGAAGTTAAACTACTGCTCCCTGTAGTCTTTAAAGCTATGTTCTAGCTGAACAAGTTTCCATAAACTTCAATGCCAATCTCTTCAGACAGCCCATGACTAAATCCAGTATCAGACTTTAGCCAGTTTGGCCACAAGAGATGGTACTTGCTGCAATAATAAAAACCAGACCACTGCATATTCTATATGTCATGCTTACATCACAATAAAGATTGCCAAGAATTGTATGGTAGAATTGGCATCTTGTTACATGTACTTACTCTAGCATTATAGGCATCAAGCTGTGCATCCAACTCTTCTGCTGATAGCTGCTGTTTTGGGTTTCTTGCAGCGCCTCGCCCACGACCCCTGTTACCACCTCTTCCTCCCCTCCTGTTTGCACCACCAGCTCCAAAACCTGTGGCACCTCCTCGTTGTCTGACACCACCACCTCCGCCTCTGCTTAGTCTATTAAAGAAAAAAAATGTTATATATAAAAATCCATAATTTAGTGTCGATTAAGTTTTGACCAGTGTTGGCAGATTGCTAGCCCAGATACTTACATTTGTACTGGTCTCCTCTGAGCTTCAATTTGTGATGTTACTAACTGGATATTCATGGCGCGACCTATAAAAAGAAAGGATACACAAACAAAAAAAAAAACCCAATGGGTCAGACAAGTGGAGGCAGTTTAATATTTCCCACAATGGATACATGCGCGGCCAACCTGCCCTGGGGCCACTTTGTGTTGCATCCAGCCGCAAGACAGGAGAGATTTCCGGTATCATTCTGGTCTCACCCCCACGTAGACCGATTGTGTGCTCCCGCAGGCCAGAGGAGTGCCGAGCTGGAACACAGGTGGCTCAGCTTAAGGTAAGTGAATTGAGGAGGGGCAGTGTATTAATTTTAGGAGGTGGCACTATTAATTTGGGGGAGTGAGGGGCCAATGTATTAAATTGGGGAGGAAGGGGCAGTGTATTAGATTGGGTCTGCATGGAGGTACTGAACACTCCCCATAGAGATGCTCATTGGCCGCGCAGCTTTTTCACACATGCACAATAGCCTCCGAATGCTTTCCTATGGGGAAGCATTGGCTGAGATCAAGTTTGATGATCTCAGTCACAGTGAACACTCATAGGACTTCAAAAACAAGATGTTATTGGTTTGTTTTTACAGCTGTGCAACAGCATACATTCAGCATGTCAGTCCCATTACCAAACCTTTTGTCGAAGTAGTTGGTTATATGCAAATTAAAGTCTCCTTAAAATAAATTTGCCCTTTTGTTTACTTTGAAGCCGTACGAGCATGAGGACGCCAGTGTCAGTTAGGCAACTTTTAGACTGTACTTCACTATGAATGCTGAAGTTTGTTGGTGGCCCAACTAAACTTATACCTTGTTTATTTGGCCCGTGTAAGCCTTTGTGTTTGTCCAATTTTAAAACTATTTATGACAAGCATGTCCATCAGCTGCACCTAGCAAGACTGCTCTATTCAACCAAGATCCAGGACCATGCATGTTGGCAGAGAGCTTTAGTGTAGGCTCTGCTTAGCTCATTAGAAGGAATCAGATTTTCCTTCATGAGAATATTGGAGACATTGTGTTCAGTCATGTGCAGCTGACTGGACCCAGGTTAAGCTGTCACAGATTACACAGGGATAGTTTAGAGGCACACCTGGCACCATAGCCACTTCAAAGGGTATGAATCTTTAGTGTTTACAATACTCCAACAGTAATCACAATATGATGTACAGAATACCAAAAGGTTTGCACAATGCACTCACCATCCAACGGAACCCCATTATATTGCTTCATAGCCTTCAAGGCATCTGCTTTTCTCTCAAAGTGCACATCTGCGGTTCCTAAACTTCTCCCCGATCGGTCATAGTGTACAGCTGCTTTCTTTAAAGTACCAAACTCTGCAAAGAGCTCCTTGAACAAACAGGCAAATAGTAAGACATTCATTCAATTAAATTTAAGATCAGATCTTAGCCAAATGTTAATTCACTAAAGCAGGAGTGGGGGAACCTTTGGCCCTCTAGATGTTTTGGACTACATCTCCCTTCATGCTTTGCCAGTATTGTGGGAGATTTAGTCCAAAACATTTGGAGTGCCGAATGTTCCCCACCCTTGCACTAGAGCATAAAATCAAAACAATTTCTCCACATTCAGCAAATCACAAGACAATGGAAGCATTAATCTTCTCTACAGAAAAAGTACATAAAGCTGTATCAGATTTATGGTTCATGAAGAGTTCTAAACCAGTTCATAGTAGACAGACTGCAGGAAGTATTTAGACTATACGTTAAGCTTGTACTGTATCCAAACCTTGCCTTCCAGAAGTGTAGTTATTCTTCAGAATGTTTAGCAGAGAGTTTACTGGCAGCATGAACATTCCAATGATTTTGGTGCTTGGAGACTGCAGCCAGTATGAAATGTTGCTAACATTCGAATCCCTTTGCTGCCAGAGGTATAGCAACATACTAGATTAATAACTCTGCTCAAACAATCTAATGTGATACTATATGCACCCAGGCCACTTCAGCTCACTGAACTGGTCTGGGTGCAGTGTCCCTGCCCCCTTATTCCTGCAATGATTTACATTTCAGGACTAAAACCACCTCTAGTGGCTGTCAGATAGTCACTAGAGGCACTCCCTGGTGGCTAGGCGACTTCACTGTCTGGTCTCACGATCTGCACGAGGACATTTCTCTGTCAGTTAAATCCCTGTAGGAAAGCACTGAAGCAATGCTTTCCTATGGAGAGGGTCTAATGAGCCCACAGTCTGGAGACAGAAGGCAGCACTGGAATTAGGCAAGTATTTTTACAAACCCTTGTGGCACCTGGGACCCCAGAGGCAACTAGAGTAAGGAATACAAAGTTGTATTCCTTACACTATAGACTCCCATTCATTATCACACTGATAAAATAAGATAGCAACAGTTAAGCTAAATCAGTGCTACTACACCAGTTATAGAAATTGTACATACATCTTTAATGTTGATGCTCAATGTTATGTTAAAGGTTTTTTTAATTTTATGATTATAACCAGTAAAAACAACAGATTCAAGCATAGGTAGAACACTGTAACAGAAGATTTATATAACAATGAACTACAGAAAGATTTGAGACCAGATAAAATTGTCTACTACCCCATTAATATTTGCTGCAGTATTGTAAACTAAACAAATCTACACACTGTTAAAAGTACCAGCAGAGGTTAAATTCCTGCAGGTACAAAGAACCCTGAGGTATAGTTCCATCTGTCAGTGAACCCAGACTGAGATGAGCAATGCTTAAAGCTCTTTAAATTACACAGTAAAATTTAAAGATTACTACCAGTAAATATTTGGAATTGTTCCATTTGCACTTTGTGTGTAGGAATTACTAAATGTAAAACAAAGTAAATCGTATATTCACCCCCAGCCAGATTTAAAGTGTTATTCCCATTTAATATTGCGTGTGTAGATGCCATGCAAACACAGCCCTATTTATCATTAAAATAATTTTTAAAAAAGTGATCCATAATGAGCATCTAGGAAATGTGACAAAACAGCACTCAAATGTGTTGCAACTCAAGAAATAATATATATTTTTTAAAAAGCTGATTAACAGGTTTCATGAACGCAAGTTCGAGTGTTACTCACCTGTATGTCGGCATCCGATACCCCAAAATCCAGGTTTGAAACCAGCAGTTTCCCTCCAGTCTCCACACCACCCCCACCACCACCTCCTGCCCCAAAGCCACTATCGAACAGGTCATGCTGCCACTTGTCTGGAAGCTGTTTCGGCTGGAAAGAGAAAAACACAGGTTAACTAAAGTTCGAGAAGGAGGAGAGCGCTTTAACCCCCAAACCCACCAACACTGAGCGGTCACATTCTCCCGGGCAGATAAACCGAGCACTGCAGCAAATCTGGACTACGTTTCCCATGATGCAAGCTGAGAGCAGTGTGTATAGCGCTGGCCATTGTGTTATGGGAGTATTAGCCCCCCCCTCCCTAATCCCCAGTACTCCGACTCCCAGATCGCCCAGCCAGCCCCCCCTCCCCCCCTCCCTGCTCCGGACTCCTACCCTGCTGTACGGTGCGGGTCTGTTCCTGCCTCCCCGGCTCATCATCGGCCTGGTCCTCAGCGGCCCTCCACCGGCCCCCCGGCCGCCTCCAACTCGAGCTCCGGCCCCACCGCGGCCTAGTCCTCCCCGGGCCCCTCTGCCTCCCCGCCCCCGGCCTGCCGGCCGCTGGCTCCGGTTCATCTTAATGATATCGTCCAGGGACATGTCCATCTTGTCCCCCATCTCGGTGCGTTCTCGGTAAGAGGTATCACGTGCTCGGGCGCGGCTTCCGCTTCAACAATACAACGGACGGTGTGAGCCGCGCTTATATAGCTCCGCCCCGTCCGCCCGCCACCGCGCGTCACTTCCGGCGCCTGGCTCCCCTGCTGTGTGTTCCAAGCCTCGCTCACCCAGGAATGGTGCATTCTGGGAGTGACATTATTCCATTCCATCAGCCAGAACTTTGTGACACGTGACCTAGTTCTATTGCCATAACAATGGTTCTATTCTACTGAGCAATAGGCTGCCAATGAATTCAATAAACTGGGGATTATCAGAAATTAACAAGATAATTGCTCATTTATGGTCAAAATAAAACAAGAATATTTACATTTGTTAATGTTATTATAAAAGTTTGAATTAACTTTTCAGTTTCCACAGTTCTTGGTTTCAGAATTCACTCATACTTGTAAACATAAAGGAGATATATTTCTCCTCTAGGCTGTAAGCTCGTCTGAGCAGGGTCCTTATCAACCTATTGTTTAGTAATTGTCTCATCTATTGTTAGATTTGCCTCTTTTATAATATCGTAAAGCGATGCGGATTAAGTTTGCTCTATATAAATACCATAAAATAATAATAAAGTTAATAAATACTGTGTGTTGCAAAATAGGATAAAGAACAATAGTCGCAGCGAAAGAACAAGGGTAACAGTTTCACCAATGTAGGAAATATAACTATAAGTCTAAAGCAAAATAACAGAAAACCTCCCCCCTCTCCCCTCCTCCAGAATATAGATGGTAACAAAATCAAGGGGACCCTCGGGTTCTAAGAGCAATCCAAAAATGAAAAACTATTAAACATTAAAAAATGCTGTTACTCAAAATAAAATTTGTTCTCATGTACAAATCATTTTCTGCTTTAGGTATTTTCTATATTGTGCTGTTTTATTAACGACAGGCATCTAGCGTGTGTAATGCCTGTGTGTTCTGTATTAACCTAATGCAGTCATGCATCCTGTAACCCCCTAATTTCACAGACCCAAAATGTCCATAATGTAGGGGCTCACAGTGTGGTTACAGGATGCTTCTTCGTTTAATGTATAGGCATATAAATAATCAAATACAGAAAATCAAAACAATTGCAGTTATGTAAGAAACATGTCTCAATCACTTTGATTTTTGCGCCAGTTTTGGCGAGTGCTCCACCCTGAAGCAGAAAACACTCTTGCCACTAATTAAAATAACAAAAAAAGAGGCACAAGACTAAACTGTCAGGAAGGGCACAAACAGGAAAACTTTGGCACAGATGAATGAAAATATGGCTGCAAATAGAAAATGTGACAACATTTTTTATGTGAAAACCGCCACACCGCTTTTTATCCATAAAACCTAATGAGTCCTTTAAACATGAGCAGTACTACTAAATAATGTTTAAGCATAAGAATTGACTGGAAATAATATATACACACACACATTGAAACATGAGACACACAAGTGTTTGTCAGGACTCAATGTCTGGCAAACAGCTGGTCTGTGCTTCCATTTTAGGGAATTCCTAGCCAGCCCCCTCCCCAGTAAATGGAAGGGTACAGACAGGTGGACATATCCTTGTAACACAGTACACACACATTTTTTTGGATAGCCCATGGCAGCATTACTAGAGGAAAGCGACTTAATTCTGATTTATAGGACAGGATTAAAGTGTTTTTTTTTTTTTTTTTCGAGAGGCACTTTCACAGTTCTTGGTTACTATCGTAGTAGAGTAGTGCTTATCAGGGAGTGTATGGAATACTACTGTCATCAAATCAATAAATAATCGGGACGTGTCTGTAATTCTGTGTTTGCTGATCTCATAGTAAAATTAATAAAATTTCATATATTTCAGGGCAGGGCTATGAATGCCTTGTCTCTTCTGCCTGTAGAATTGTTAGCTCTGTCCCTCCTAAATATAACACTCTAAAAACCTTTCTCATCACCAGGTTCTGGGGGAACCATCTTGAGAACATCTTAACATGATTTACTGAATACGAATATAAGATGTGCAGAATTGGGATTGAATTCCTCTGTCAGTATATGCTCCACTCTGACATTAAAAAAATGCATTTTATTACATATTACAATAAAAAGAGACAAATACCAGTATATACATATATATAATATATACTGGTATTTGTCTCTTTTTATTGTATTGTGTAAATCTGGTGTATAAGGGAAGCACTAGGGTACCGGTTACACCATCTATTGTATACTTTATACTATATACAGAATTGTCAAAATTACAGTGAAGCGCCTACGCACTATCCTTCTTTTTTTCTGTTATTTTATTACATATGCTTAATAAATTGTGCTAAAAATAGCAGACCCCTCCCCCGCTCCCAGACCTAACATGTTGATTTTAGCAGTTTTTGGTGAAGCAGGTCTAATTTAATTTGTGCAATATACAATGTGCACTGTGCATCCTGGTTTTTCCTTATTTTCTTTTTGTCATTTACTTGTTGTTTATCTGTACTAAAAAACATAAGCATACACCTCATAAACATTGTGTTGTTACTGCAAATTTGTGATTTCTGTGGGAGAAGGAAGTCTTATGGCTTGACTGGTGTGCAGATTTTTGTTTAACATTGTATTAACTATCCACAGACTGCAGATGTAAATACATTAAAATAATTAGCAGAAATCTCACATCCACAGGTATGGCATTAATTTAGTTTCAGTTTGGGGTCATGATCAGTGAATGTCAAGTGAAACTATAATCTCTTTAAACTGATTTTAACTGCCCTTTATTATTCACAGTAGGAGGCCTGTACTCTCCTGGGGGTAATTTCAGCTCCTAAATGAAAGAAACCTCCCAGCATGCTGACAACTGCCCTCAACCAAAATGGCCGCTGCGTGTTTCAGCAGGAACAAGAAATGACGTATCACCCCTAGCCTGGCAGCCTGACACTGCTTGCAGAGTGCATAGATTCCTAGACGGAAGTAATAGATCGCAGAGTGGAGGAAAGGTAAGCCTCCCAGCTGTGGGCATTGCTCTGTGAGTGTTGGGCCATGTTTATTATTATTAATATTATTATTAATACGTTTCATGATTCTTTCAGGCCAGTATGAAGATCCTCATTAAGTCCTGGAATGGAGTGGCCTCCTGGTCCTGGGTGGCCAATGATGAGAATTGTGGGATCTGCAGAATGGCATTTAATGGCTGCTGTCCAGACTGTGAGTGCTCTCCCAAGTGTCACTCACTGAGTAAAGCTGTGAGCAGTGTTTGTGCAATACACATTATAGATCACACACAGGCAGTGCAGGAAAAGTGCTGCCCTGCGAGTGTGTCATATTTATAGAATGCAGGAGGGACATCACTGGCTTTGGGACCCAGTGGTTAATGTGCTTCCATCCTGCAGGGCATCACTTTTCATGTACCGCCCACAATATATCTAGGAAGAAACTGATGGACCAGAAACCCTCCCCTAATCTACTCATATCCACAATGTTTTAAAATCTGATCCCATTTATTGCAAATTAACATTTTACGCTATAGCTGCAATAAAAATTCTGTCATTAAATTACAATTCACTGCAAATACTAACTTTGTTTAAACCAAATGCTGGTTATTTTCACACAGTTAAGTTTAGATTCCCAGAGAGAGAGAGCGATATGAATAACTTAAAATTTTTTAATTTCCTTATATTCCAACTATATGCTAATATCAACTATAGCAGAAGTAATAATGCAGTAATTAAGATACAATTCAATGTAAATATGTACTCAGACAAATACTAACTTTGTTTAAATTAAATGCTAAATTTAAATTCCTAGGCAGAAAGACATACGAATAACTTAAAAATGTTAATTGTCTTCTATTCCACGAATATGCTAATATTCCTTAAACATGCAGAGTAAAGTAAAATGTGAGATTTTAACATTTTTACAGAACGCTTTCATAGTGTGTAAATGGGCATGAGAGTTCTGTGTTTTAATTAATCACTACATCAAAGTAATCTCTGAGAATATCCCATTGATTTTATAGCAGGAGCGCAGGAATCACGCATACTGTTGCAGGGCTAATCACTAAACTCCACATTTTTGCAAATAATATCCTAATAGTAAAATAAATTCTTAAACTAGCCAAGCTGTGACGGGACTTGAATTGGAGAAATTGTAGTCTAACTTTTTACCATTTGGAATTAATTTGCTTCAATTCAGAGTTTAAGGAATACGTCTGTCGAGCTACACTTTTAGGTTCTGCCCAACAGAATGCAAGATTTTTAAGTGTTGCTAAGAACGGTGTTCTGGTGGCACTATCTGTGCCATACACACACATTGCTTCATTGCTGTAACCTTCATAAGTATCAGTGATGTAATAAATAGCAGGAATAAAAACAGAGCAATTTGGAGATTTTGTTTAAAGGTTAGCTAATTTGGCTTAAAATTTGAATTCCTGGCAAATCACACATGTAGGGCTTTATTCACAAAACTCTGATTTGTAGTGAATTAAAATTTGAATTAAAGCCCTTAGGCTAAAACAGGGAAGCAGACTACACTTGAGATAGAGAATGTTTCCAGATCAGTTTTTTTGTCAACATCTTATATTTGTATTTCAGTTTAGTTCAGTATAGTTTCATAAACCACTATATCTTTTTTAAATTAATTATCATTTTCTAAATATAAATTTTTTTTCTGGTTGAATTTTTAACTTTCAACATGGAAAAACCATAAATAGCACACATTACACCTGTAGCTGAATTCACATAGAATTGTAGCACGCTGTAGTAGTTGTGGTGTCCAGAGTGCGCTGGTAGCCCCTTTTGTAAGTAGTCAAACCCTTTTTAGAATGGTTTGACTTGACTATGTCCATCCAATGCTGCTCCTTGCCTCTACTACTTCCTCTGGAGGCTCCTTCTCTGTCGGAAGTCGTGGAGGCAGGGTGCAGTGCCATGCAGGCCCTAGGTAGGAAGTAAACTGTCCTAAAGCAGTTTGACTAATTACAGTGGTGGAGTGCCAGGCCACTCGTGCCATGATAACAACTTTAGTGAAGTGTAGTAGTTATGGTTCTTGGCATCTTCCTTTAAAGCATAGAGAAAGAAATTGCAACAGAAATGCATAATACAAAAACAGTGTATCCAGGTATTTTAAGGTGTTTGAAATACAAGAAAAGTATTCAAATACACAAATTAGGTTATTCATTAAATTGTGAATTATCAGGAACTCCTATCACTGGCGCCCAGTCCTGGGCTTCCCCATTTAGGAGGAGAAAGAGGAGCTGAGCTGACTGGTGCCATCTGGACCTCTTTTGGGTTTAACCCACTTGTAAATAGCTTATCACAAGGTACAGGTTCCCAAAACAAACCTCATTGCTCCGCAACAGTCCAGGATTTATGTATTTCATGTGTTTATTCCAATGGAAATACTGACAAAACCTGGACTGTTGGTGGGCCAGGACTACTGGTTTGGGAAACAAAGGTAAGAGGGCGCCCAGGATCTCCAAGCACCATAACAACTTAATTGAGATGAAATTGTTTTGATGCCCAGGGCAATGCTTTATGGAAGGACAGGTCTCTAGAAATTCATCACGGCGCAAGCTGACTCTTTGTGGGATCATCACATACAGGTTTATTTTCTAAAGTGAAAATCAAAGTGAATTTTAAATTTAAGGCCAAAATAGCCAAATTGGAAGCATAGGTGACTTGGAGAATATTCCAGGTCAGCTATTTTGGCCGTAAAGTTGAGTTCCTGACAATTCACATGTTGGTAAATAATCCTGATAGAATTCAACTTGTTTTATATAACTCACTTTATAATACTCGGATCAGTCGTATAGTGGAGTGTCCCGAAACGTTTCTTCAGGACGCGCCAACATGTCCGAATTTCAGGAGAATTGTGTCTTAGTACTGAATAATCACACACACGCATTTTATTTGAGATATCTGAGCGCTGGCAGTAATATCTTAAAATTCCTGTCTTTTGGTGGATCTGAGAATGAGTTTTGTTACCAAGCTCATATTAAAAAAAAAATGTTTTATGTTTTATACCAATCTATCAAGGAGCCATCGGCATACAACCCAGGTGTGCGTGACCCCCATCAGATGGTGGGATCTGCTCCCTAATGTGTTCTAAATTAACTCTGGAACACTCCTCACCCCAGTAAATGCTTCAAAGCACTCATTGGTGTGACGGAAAGGGGGTCTGTGATTGTCAAGGGGACAGTTCCCAATTATTGGAGCAATCATAGACTGCAATAGCGAGCTCCCTAATAAGGTTTTATTGTTCATTTAACATGTTTAGGAATGGTATTCTGCAATATAATTAAGATAGTTTCACACCTGATTTACACAAAGACTGTCCCTCCCATTGTCCCAGGTATAAAGGAAGTCTGATGGCTTTAGTCTTGGTTTGAATGACCCTCATTTGCTTACAGTGAGATATAGAGGATGGTTTAACATTGTACATTATACTGGTTGTTCCTCTGAGATTATATGCAGTTAGCATTCTGTACCTTTAAGTAATGTAAAATGCACAGAGAGGGGTCTGATCTATCTGTCTGCATAGCCCACAGCAATACTTCTCCTACCAAGTTTTTTTTTTCTCGTTTTGTTTGGCAAATGGGGACCAGATCACAGTTTTCTGTTATAATAAAAAAGAAAATCATATTTATTGGTGAGGTAATGACTTGTGATTAGTGTGCAGTGGGGAAAAAACCCATGTGTCTGTCATGATTTTATTTGTAGTTCCCCCCCCCCTCTTTATTTATGGCTGGAGATACTGCCGAGAGACTGATCAACTAATCATGTTGGGATTTTGGCAAATCATCCCATTTTTTAGTTATACACAATCAGACCTGCTTAGTCTGCTCTAACAGGAATTCTGACATCACCCATTGGATTGCATTGGGCCATTAGACCCTGGGCGCCCTAACTTGTATTATATAATTGGATAAGCGCATCAGGCGGCCTAACGTGGCACCATCTTTAAATTGTAAAAGCTGCCACAGGGATCACAGCTCAAACACTACATATGTAATGTATATGTAGAGGTGGTATTCAGTATACTGCCTCCTAGTGCATGGTGCTCAGAGTGCACTCTGAATGATACTCTGTATTATCATTATGCCATTTATATAGCGCCATCAAATTCCGCAGCGCTTTACAGTGGGTGGACGAACAGACATGTAGTTCTAACCAGACAAGTTGGACACACATGAACAGAGGGGTTGAGTATCAATGTGGCCTGCTCTGTAGTGTTGATGGGAAGGCATTAGATGACATTTTCCACTTGAGCGAGTTCTAGCAGGAGGAACACTTGCATTCATTCATCTACTCACTAGTATAAAGTCCCACAATGCAATGCAATACAGTGTGTAAGAGTTACACAGGACTGCTGTCCGACAGGGCTGATTGATCTTAAAGGACCACTATAGTGCCAGGAAAACATACTCGTTTTCCTGGCACTATAGTGCCCTGAGGGTGCCCCCACCCTCAGGGACCCCCTCCCGTCCGGCTCTGGGGAAAGGAAAGGGGTTAAAACTTACCTTTTTCCAGCGCCGGACGGGGAGCTCTCCTCCTCCTCTCCTCCCATTCGGCTGAATGCGCACGCGCGGCAAGAGCTGCGCGCGCATTTAGCCAGTCTCATAGGAAAGCATTTACAATGCTTTCCTATGGATGCTTGCGTGCTCTCACTGTGATTTTCACAGTGAGAATCACGCAAGCGCCTCTAGTGGCTGTCAATGAGACAGCCACTAGAGGATTTGAGGGCTGGATTAACCCATTTATAAACATAGCAGTTTCTCTGAAACTGCTATGTTTATAAAAAAAAATGGGTTAACCCTAGCTGGACCTGGCACCTGGCACCCAGACCACTTCATTAAGCTGAAGTGGTCTGGGTGCCTAGAGTGGTCCTTTAATGTGCTGTGGAATATGTTAGTGCTATAGAGTTTAGATCTGATACTGAATCAGTGTGACTGAGTTCACACAGGGAGCATGTGACGCCCACAAACTACAGTTCTGTGACACTATGGTATTCTGGGAACCTTGGAAATAAGGCTAATGGATTCCTGGCTCCTGGAATCGGAGAGCTTTATTCACTAAACTCCGAATTGCTAGAATGCAAAAAGTGCTTACAGGGAACACTGCTGCAGTTCATTGTAAGTCGCGCAGGAGATGCTCCTACCTGCTTGCTTGTTATGTTTTTTAATGAAATCTTTTTCCACCTGCAGGTAAGGTTCCCGGGGATGACTGCCCTTTGGTGTGGGGTCACTGCTCACACTGCTTCCACATGCACTGCATCCTGAAATGGCTCAACTCCCAGCAAGTACAGCAGCACTGTCCCATGTGCAGGCAGGAGTGGAAATTCAAGGAATAATGGGATCCTATCCCAGGACTGGTCCTCTTTCTAGTTCTACGATCTATCATTTAATGCGAACATTCTTTTGTTTTGGATTTAGTTTTTTTGCAATCCCAGGTTGGTACAGGGCATGTTAATGCCAGTTCTTGGTGGAGATTTTTCCTTTTTCCATGTGTAGTCGTGCACAGAACGTATATATCTCTCTTCTAGAAATGATCATGGTTCGTACCCAGAGTGAAATCATAACACGTACATCAGTAATAGTGAGCTTGTTGCACTTCCGTGGGGTTTATTTAGTGAACTGTGAATTGTGGCGAATGATCCACAGAATTGCAAATTTTAGGACAAAGTAACTGAGCTGTAAAATTATTTTTATTTTGACCTCCAAACTCGTAGTTTCCCAGAATTTCCTAAACAATCAGATCTAAAGTACATTTCCCTTTTGATCCCCTATTGCCTAGCTGAGCATTATGGGAAATGTAGTAAGCGAAATCTCAAGTAGCAAAGATCAGCCATCAATAGTCAAGACAGATCTACGGAAACTGCAACAGAGCTCTGGTCCCCAAACTTTCAATTCATTTTCCATGGTCGTATGATCTCTATTTGCCAAAATTCAAATGGTCTGCTTCAGGCATCTCCGTGCGGTGAACTGCTGCTCTTAGTCTGTCAACTACCATCGTGCTCAGTCCCTTTTATATAAATTACTATAACAGAGCATTATACTACATTATACAAGAGCCATTCGTATCACACTGAACTGGTTTTAACCTTTTTCATGTCGGTCTGAATGAACAAGTATACTGAGTTTTTTTGTTTAAAATTATCTTTTCAATAAAGCATCAAAAATTGTCTTTGCAATAAAATATTTTGAGATGTCAGATAAATTGTCTTTGCATTCTCTGTTGGGGTTTATTTACAAGATTTACAAGATTATTTCAGTCCATTTAACCCCTTAAGGGCACATGACGTGTGACATATCATGATTCCCTTTTATTCCAGAAGTTTGGTCCTCAAGGGGTTAAACCCATAGAATAGCCAAGTTTGGGAAAAATAGGAAATTTAATTAAGTTGACTATTGAATTTTTTTTTCCCCCAATGCAGATATTTTGGAGTTCAGTTTTGTGATGTTTATTATGTCCATTATTTATTATATGGTTGGGGAGGGGGGCAAGGAGAAGGCTTAGGTGATATGAGATTATCACTTGTCATCGCTGGCTGTCACTCTCCGTCTGCTTCAATTCCCTTGATGTGAATGTATATCATGTCTCTGTGACTCACGTACTAGCGCCCAGATTAATATAAACGCAAATTGTCTGTAGGGCTCCTTGTGGAGACATAACGAGTTCAGGGGAAAACGCAGGTTCCGAGCAGTGAATATGAAGCTCGCAAATTATCCTGTAAAGTGTTTGTAGGAGGAACAGCTGTGCTCTCAGTAAATGCAGATAGCTGTGTGTGTGCCGATGCGGGCTTCTGTGTACCGTGAACAAAAAAAACAATATTTCACACTAACTCTTGCACTGGGGAAGAGCTTGGAACTACTTAATAAAATGTAAAATAATTCTTTGTTATTAGTCACCTTTAGCAGTACGGTTCCCAGAAACCTTGTTTAGGAGAGAGAATACGTATAGCTGCTTAACCCTTTCAGTGCTTTAGTTGTGATAGTTGACCTTGTGGCAATAGACTGAGTTATTTCTAAGGATCTTTCTATTGTGTAGAAAGTGATATGGTATTCGGTGTACAAAATGAAAATAATGCAATGATAAGTCAGTAGAACAAATTTATCGATTAAGAGGAGAAAATAAAACATTGCATGTCTTGCTTATATTCTACCTGTATGCTCGGATAACGTGTGCCAGACAAAGATTAATTATTAAAGGGACACCAAGGCATCCAGACCAATTCATCTCATTGAAGTGGTCTTGGTGTAGTGTCCCAGGTCCCTTAACCCTGCAGTCCCTTAACAAACTGCAATAATTACCTTTGAGGGTTAACTCCACCCCTAGTGGCTGTCTATCAGACAGCCACTAGAATGCCTTAAGAGTCGTTAGGCGACTTTTGGTCGCCTAACTGACACTGGACGTCCTCACGCTATGCATGAGTACATCCAGCGTCACCCAAAACCCCATAAGAAAGCATTGTAAAATTATACAATGCTTTCCTATGGGGCAAGTACTAATGCGAGCGTGTCCATCGCAGAGCATGCGCATTGTCTCCTCTGCTGGAGAAGAGGTGGTGCATGAATCAGTGCCGAGGGACATTGGCGCTGGAATTAGGTAAGTGACAGAGGTTGTTGGTTTTTTTTTGTAACCCCTTCTGCATCACGGGGAGTGGCCGAGACAGAAGGGGGACACTAGAGGGAGCTATCGTGCCAGGAAAACAACTTTGTTTTAGGCACTACAGTTTCCATTTAAAAACCAAATTGTAGTGAATTGCAAAAACCCTCCAACATGGCTATACTCACAGTTATTTTAGCTTAATGAATAAAGTAAAACATTGGTGATAGTCAAACTACTTTAAAGTGTCCTTGCATAACAGTAAAACCACGTCATAAAAATAAACATCAAATTTGTCGCAGGAATTCAAAGTGCTAACATGCAAATATAAACTAGATAATTATAACCGTTTTAAATTCAAGTGCAAAATGTATATAAAGGAAAACATTAATACTCCAAAAACTACGGAACATAAATAATGGTACTTTTATATAGATCTTTAGATTTGAATCATGTTATTGTTTTATATAGATGTTCTGCTCTATATTTCGTTATTTATTTGAAAGGTTATATACAGAGAATTTAGTAGATTGAAACTGACAATGAAATATACAGGGTTAGCGCACTATTATTTATGTTTTGGTTAAATTCAGTGTTAAGCGAAAAAATCTGAGAGTCCTGTGATATAGTAAGTTAATAAAATGTGTGCTAGTTACAATGAGGGTTTGGTCGAATGGGTGTAAGTATTAACTGTAGGAAATGGAGTATAAGGCCAGGGAATATTTATAACGCAATGGTTTAAAGAGCAGAGATTGCCAAAACACAGACCCCAGTTGTTGTAGAAGGGGTCTTCCATGCTGGCAAAGCATTGTATACAATGTTCTCTGGTCCCTATTCCATTGGTGACTGTCCTTTGTGCTGCTGATGTCTGGGGACTACTTTTCTATGATGTTTGGCCAGTTATCAGTTGGTTAGATCATCCTGCTATGTATTGATGGTACAGGGGTGCGAGGCAGAGCCCAGAGCTGAACTGTGACAGATCTGTGAGTCACTGGGACGGTGACAGTTCTGTATAACATTTAGAGATAAGAAGAAATTGATCCGTTTCTGGATTAACTGGAAATGTGTCACCAGATATTGGGAATGATAATGTCTCAGATTTAGGAAGGGGGGGGTTGTTCCACCTTTATTGTGTGGGCGTATTGTAAATTTACTGTGCGTACAGCTTCCAATATCAAAACAACGAGAATGTGTATATGCAGTGACTCACTTAATCCGTGTTCAGTTTCTCAATAGATTGCAAGCTCTTCACAATAATTATTTATAAATCATCCTAATAAACCTATAGATTCTGAGTTCTAATTCAGATTGCCAGCTCTTGGTTCAATTGTGGGTCTTAATACAGATTACAAACTCTTTACATAGAAACAGACTTTACATTATATTGTGGTTTCTAATAAGGATTCAAACTCTTTGGAAAAAATAAAGAGTTCTAAAATAGATTGCAAGCTCTTTAGATTACAGGTCCTACTACAGATTGCAAGTTATTTTGATGAGATAGCGGGTTATATTTCAGATTTCAAGCTCTTTAGATGACTGGTTATATTACAGTTAGCAAATTCTTTGGAATAAACAGTGGGTTCTAATGCAGATTGTTACAGGCTGTGAATTCGAACACTGATCTAAATCTAAGCATTAATTCTTCTTTTACGCTGCTGGAATATTTTTGTTTCTTATATCAGTCAGAGCCTGAAGGCTCCTGTGCCAGGACAGTTGCCTACTTTCAGTGTGAAAGTAAAGCAAGCTAGCATGAAATAGCTTGTTTTTCGGGGGGGTACTTGTAAGGGAAAATCTATGAAATCTTCCTTGGACCTATTTGCCTTGTTTCAATGCTTGGCTATGTCTATACTTCAAGCCGTGAAAGATTGATAATTACAGTATCTGTGAGTGTAGGCAGATTATATGAATCAATTATCATATTGTGCCCAATATTTCTGCTTTATCTTATACTGGCCACATTATCTCCTGCCACTCACATTATATCTGTCACTTGCCTTGTTAATTTCATTTACATTGCCCAGGGCTTCTACTGATTTAGTGACTCCGAACTGTCATATATTTAAAAAGAAAAATCCCACCACCCCTCTTCTTCATTTTAGCCCTTTACCCACCCCCACCCCCCATTCCTCCACCTCCAGGGCCCCCTCCCCTTCTCCAGGTCTGGGCTGTCGCTGGCATCCACTATCTCCTATAAAAGACGTAAATCCTCTGCTCCTTTAGACGAAACTGCTCACAAGCACCACACTGTCATCATGCTGTCTCTAAGATCCCACTCCTCGCTGCGACTGACGCTGATGTGTAGTGTCCTGGCTCTACTGTTCTCTTGTCAGCGGACGAACGCATGGTACAAACAGTCCACCGGCCCCAGTTATTACTCTGTCGGCCGAGCATCGGGGCTGCTGTCCGGTATTCGCAGGTCACCTGACATTCGCCGATCTGAGCCGGACAGCGCAGGGGAGAGCAGCGAGAATATGGAAGACAACTTTCTGAATAGCCTTGGAGGTCAAAGACAAGGAGCGCTGCTCAAGAGTATGGTACGTATCAGTGAGGGGAGAGGATGGGGAGAGGCTGAGTGTGAGATCCTTTGTGAGTACAATAGCTGCTTATAAACCCTGGTAACAGAATGCTGAGTGTGAGCGGAGGTGATAGACTGTACTATCTTCTCAACTTCAGTGGGACTTTAAGGGGAGAAAGACTTGGTTTCATGATGAAGTGAGTGTATGCAGTGAGTGTTAGTGAACAGTGAGTGAGTGTATGCAGGGAGTGTTTTTGCACAGTGAGAATATGAAGGGAGTGTTGGTGAACAATGAGTGTACGCAGGGAGTGTTAGTGAACAGTGAGTGCATGCAGGGTGTGTTAGTGAACAGTGGAGTGAGTTTACACAGTGAGTGTATGCAGGGAGTGTTAGTGAATAGTGGAGTGAGTTTACACAGTGAGTGTATGCAGGAAGTGTTAGCAAACAGTGAGTGGAGGCAGGGAGTGTTAGTGAACAGTGAGTATATGATGGGAGTGTTGGTGAACAATGAATGCATGCAGGGAGTGGTAGTGAACAGTGAGTGAGTGGACGCAGGGAGTGTTAGTGAACAGTGAGTGCATGCAGGGTGTGCTAGTGAACAATGGAGTGAGTTTACACAGTGAGTGCATGCAGGGAGTATTAGTGAACAGTGAGTGCATGCAGGGAGTGTTAGTGAACAGTGAGTGTATGTAGGGATTGTTCGTGAACTGGGAGTATTAGTGAAAAATGAGTGTATGTAGGGAGTGTTCGTGAATAAAGTGTGATTGGAGGTGATAGTGGTGAAGAATTGATGTGCAGAGATGTGATATTGGTGCAAATGTATAAAGTACTGTGACTGAACAAAGATGAAAGTAGACATAAAGTCATTTGTTAACCAATAACTGTACGTAGGACAGTGCCAGGCTGTGACTTAGCGTAATGTTGCAGGCAGTTTTTCTATCGTTTACTATGGGTGTTAGTGAATAAGCCCCCGAGCAGGTGGTATGAGTGTTACAGTCTCCAATCCGGTTATTATACCAGCTCCACTATTCTGGTTAAAACATGCAAACCCCTTGTCAGTTTATAGAGGGATTACATTATAGTCAAAAATAGTTTAAAAATGACAGGGTTATTCACTAATCTCCTAAATTTCTGCAGATTAAATCCGATTGGCAAAATGGAGGCAGTAATAGCTAGTTGGATACTATTTCCAGATTAACTAATTTTGCCAGTTTTTCTATTTGGATTGAATTGGGGAATATTCTGAGTTTAGTAAATATGTTATGTAAAAATTTGGAATGTGCTGCAATTTCCCTCTGCAAAATGTTGGCCTATTTTAACCAATTAATATTATTAGAAATGCATTTTTCAGGGTTGTAATCTGAAAAAACTGATCTGCCTCCATCTTTTCGAGTGCAGCCCCAAAATATCTTCTTCATAAGAGCTTCTAATTGAAAAAAAAAGGATAAAATCCAAAATGTTAAGAAACCAATACCAAGTGTAGAAAATAATATAATATATTTTCATGATAAAGGCAGCATTTTTATTGGGGCAAAGCATGATGGGACTTGTAGTTCTACAACAGGGCATCTTTCTGTTGGCCACCTGAGTTTTTCAAGTTAGTTTCAGGCGTATGAATGAAAAACTGTATTTATCAAACCTGTGGGCACAAATGGGGAATGTAATCCCAGCAAAATTTCTTGCCACATGTTGCATTTTGTCATTTGCCCCATAACTCGTCTCTCTCTCTCTGTCTATCTCCACCACAGGCGCTGTGTGTCAAGGATGTGTCGCCCAATCTGCACAGCTGTGAGCTCCTTCCAGACACCGCCAGTACCTTCCAGTGCAAAGCTCAGATTTACCTCTCGTTGGACAGTTCAGACTGTCTCTCCCCCTGACACCCCCAAATCCAGAGACTATGCCTTGCATCCCGCCTGCGCCCTTGGCACCCCTCAACCTTTGTTCGGGGGGTGGGGGGAAACTTTTGTGTAGATTTGTACTGTATCTGCTGCATTAGATAAACATTTGTTCAATGAATAAATTAGGAATGATGAGACTCCTGCCTCTGTCTAATTGTCGGTATCTGTGACTAATTGTGAAAATGAGTTTATGCATTTAATGAATGTCTGGGTCAGTGACTAATTATCCTCAGAGCAAAATAAATAAAACATAAATAACTGGGGAAAAAATCCCCCCAAATTAAATCACGCCTACATCTTTTAATATCCTAAATATATTAATATTTAACCTGGGATCCAATTAAATCTTCACAATGATAAACCAAGTGCCATTTCTATAATCCAGGTTTAATTTGTGTGATAGTCACAGCCTCTCATGATTCCAAGGTTAATAACATGAGTGCCATTGACTTAGAAAGATAGAACATCAATGTGTCTGTGAGTCTGGTGTATAAAACTATATACTGAGAGTTTTAAATGGACTAATAGATAGACATCATTTCAATACTGCTCCTTTAATTAACGTGTCACATGTTTAAAACTCATTCCAGTACACCCTTTTCATATATTTATTTTCCTATTATTATATTACAAGTACATTTTATTATTGATCATTATATATATAATTTATTTTTTACAGAAAATACCTTAACTAAAATATGACAAAACTTATCTTTATTTATTCTTTTAATTACCAACTAAGCTTTACTTAACAAATGACGACAAACCTAACAAAAGAGGAATAAATCAGCAATTATTTCTCATGAACTTTAGCTCCAAACAGATAATGAGCTAAATATCATTTAATATAGACATGCAGATATTGATCTAAACGAGTGACGGAGAGTATAATTTGACCTGGGTTTACCAGGACAAACGCAAAACACCCCTTTCGCATCCCTACCCCAAATCTAAATAACGTACTAATAATCAGAGAGTCAGTTATAGTTAATCAATAACTTAAGCAATAACATTCTAATATTAATATACATATTTATTTTTAAAAATCTGTGTATTTGCATTAGTAAAGTCAGAATAAGACACACTGTTTAACCAACACACACTTACTACAATATACACATTCACAGACATACACACTCACTCATTCACAGTTACACACACATGCACACTCACTGACAGACACACACTCTCATTGACAGATACTGGGACACACATATACTCACTGACAAATACACACTGACAAACACACATATACAACACTTACTGATAGACATATATAGTCAGTGTCAGACACACACATTGACTGATAGACACACATACACTACCTGACAGACACTAACAGACATACACATACTGTCAGTGACAGACAGGCATACACACACTGACAGATATGGATACACACGCTAAAACACACACTGACGCACGCATACACTCTCATTGACAGATACACACACACTGACAAACACATATACACTTTCAGAGACAGACACACACTCACTAACACACACACACACACACTCACTAACAGACACTCAGTAACACACTAACACACTCACTAACAGACACATTAACACTCTTACTAAGACACACACTAACACACTCACTAACAGACATACACACTCCCTAACAGACACACATTAACACACTCACTAAGAGACACACTAACACACCCACTAACAAAACACACTAACACACTGACTAACAAACACAAACACTCACTAACAGACACACACTTACTAACACACTGACTAACAAAACACACTAACACACTCACTAACAGACCCACTCACTAACACACACAAACAGTAACACTTACTAACAGCCACACACTAACACTCACTAATAGACACACTAACAATTTTTTACATTTTTATATCTAAAGTTCAATCCACCCAGTCTCCCACCCTTTAGGAGTGCTGGGGTGGATTTTCCCCCTGGGGTCCATTGGGGCTGCTGCTGGCTGGGCTGGCAGGCATGCGGACGGTCCGGCTGGCAGGCAGACTCATAGTGAAGACAGCGAGGGAGCTCTGATCTCCCTGCTCAGCTCCCTTGCGCGCCTCTTAGTGATGCCGGAGTCAGAGTGACATCATATTCCGGCTCCGGCATCACTGTGGTGCGCGCAAGGGAGTTGAACAGGGAGAGCTCAGGAGAAAGTGCTCCCTCGCTGCCCATAACATCAGCGCATGCCATCCTAGGGGCGCGGTGGTCCTGAGGTGGCCAGCCGGCCAGCTCCTGGGCCCCCCAGCACAAGAGGCTGGCAAGGCATTTGCCATGGAGATTGGTGGGTGGTGGCCTTTTTGCCGCCCTCCTGAAAGTGCCGCCTAATGCAAATGCCTTGTCAGCCTCGCGCTAAATACAGCACTGCACTTCCCTCTTTCTACTGCGAATACCTCTCCCTATACAACCAAGCATTCTGCTAGCATTTCCTGCTGCTCTATTACATTGTCTGCCTACCTTTAAGTCATCAGAAATAATCACCCATAAATCCCTTTCCTCAGATGTTGAGGTTAGGACTCTATCAAATATTCTGTACTCTGCCCTTGGGTTTTTACGTCCAAGATTATTATCTTGCACTTATCCACATTAAATGTCAGTTGCCCCAACTCTGACCATTTTTCTAGTTTTAAGTCTTAGGTGCCCTCATAGTACGTGTAGGATCCTCTATTCCTATCTGTTTATATCTATTTACCAAGCCTATATGGGGGCTTATTTTTACTAGTAGAGATCATCTGGGTGATAGCCTATTATCAAATGGGGTACAACCCTAAGTAATTAATCTCTGCCTATTTTCCACTCTACCAGGCCAGACTTGTCTGCCCATTCCACCATTTTTCTAATTTACCTAAATCATTTGCCATTTGGCTTATACTAGTCCCCCTAATTACTTAGTTTCCTCAAAACAGCAAAGAGGCAAATCTCAAAGGACATACTCATAATAAAATGGGAGAAAAACACACAATTAACTAGCTTCAGGGTAGGAATCAGTAGCCGTGTAAACAAACTGTGCCTAATTCAATTAGTGCCAGTCTACGTTAGACTATATCGCAATGTACGTATACTGCATTACTTGGGCCTCAGGCATCGCAGGGTTAAATGTCCATTTTTGTTTGATTATTGGAAATGGATCTGACAGTTCATGTTATTTCTCTCTCCGCATTGCTGCTATCTCACCTCCCAATCGTGCGAGCTTTACATATGCAAAACACAAACCACTCTCTCCATTCTGGCAGTTTATTTATATTTTATATGATTTGATTTTTGTCTGTGCCAATCTCATTTTGTTTCTAAGCAACTGCAGCCCGAATGTACATGAAATTGGGACCCAAAAGACCCTCTCCCCACCCCCCCAGCACCATGGGTTCATTTAAAGACAGACACCTGCTGTACTGATCTAAAGAGACACGAGAGAACCTGGAGTGGAGAGATTGCTGTCTCCCCCTGGTGATATGAGGACAGGTGGGGGCACTGTAACAATGGGAACCTTTCCAAGAGGTAAATGCAAACTATAAATATGCTCAAGTTTTATTATGTTTGATTTATATTGGAATATACTGGTCAGGCTATATGCCAAGAGCCTGCACTGTCTGCCATTGTTCTCCTCAATATCTGTCTCTTGATTTTTAGCTTCTAAAGACCTTAAATCGAGGTGAGGAGGGATTTAGGGTTCTGCGATCCCTATCTAGTGAGAGGGCCAACACAATCCTTTGTGCAGCTCTGCTGAGTGCAGGTGTCATATATGACATCAAATTCCCCAATATGAGTGTCATGAGGCTCTGTACACGCCAAATGAGTCTTGGTTGGTGTAGGCCATTACCGTGGACCTGTGTCACTTTGTGTAGGCAAACAGGTAATGCTAGCAGCTATCTGGGGTTATGACTTCACTCTGCCAATACATTATGTAGACAGTTGTTTAGCATCTTTCTTGGCTCTGGTCATGTTGTTAGCTGTCTTTACGAAGGTGGTTGAAATATGTTCTGGCTTAGGCAGGTCCCACACCCTGAATAAACTGGGAAAACAGGTTCGGCGTCCAGTTTCAGGAGCACACCTTGCTGTCCTAATCATATGATCCGAACATTTCTGTTACTTCTACTGTTTGTTTCCCAATGTTTCTGCTAATTGGCCATCTCATCTGATTTACCTCCTGTACGTGGTAAGATCCACAAATAAGGCACACGCTACAGTATTATTGTTCAGACGCATCCAATATGTGCCTGATTAGAACAGGTCTTACCACAGGTAAGAAGAATTGGTAAATAATTGGTGACTGGGCTTCATGCAGTGCCTTAAAAACAGATAGAAATAGTACATAAGTAGCCGAAGTAAAGAAAATTACACGAGAAACTAGCCGAGTCAAGGTTAGAGGCCAGCACAATAAATGTGAAACAAGCCAAAATCGGTAAACGGAAAGCCCACAGAATGTAGAAAGTGCTATTAAGTTCTTAGTGTTCTTGGACACAATTATTACCTGGAAAATCTGGTTTAAATTGTGTTCTTGGACACCGTTACCAACCAGGTTCCAAGAACACAATCTGTGAGCTTACGGGAATGTTGACGCAGTTACATGCAGCTGCTCCAAAAACAGGGGGCAGATGGTCAGCAACCTGCAAATTCAGTGCTGCCGGTTACACTGGCCAGACATTGCGAGAGTGAAAAACGGGAATCCCGGGGTAGATATCTGGGGTGCCGTCACGTTACCTCATGTTATATTTAGTGCCCTTAGTATAAAACGATGGAAGAATCTTCTGCCTTTGGCTGTTGGAAACAAGAAACTGGGCAATCGATAGTCACTTCTGAGCTCAGGGCTTCAGAATAACATTCTTGGGCCAGGTGGTCAAGCTATATATGTTCTAGGACTCATAGTCAAATAACTAGATCCAAGTTGGACTATTGCAATTTAGTTAATAAATGTTACCAAACTCCAAAAACTACGAGCTGTTTAAAATAATCATTAGCTTAGAGAGTTTGGATGTTGAAATATAAATGTTATTTTTTTCCCCTCTGTCGTCTCCCACCTCGGGGACACTAGTGACATTAACTGCTTGTCACTGGCAGGGTGATTAGCAGGCAGATAACGAGGGTCACGGTGCATCTACTGTTCCGTTCTAATCATCAGATCAATTCAGAGGCAATTTTCCACTTTCTGATTTGAATAACGAAGAAAACAGCGAATTAAAAGAGAGAGCCGTCACCTTGAGAGATTAGGGGGTGGAAAGAGAGGGGGGGTGACGAGGAGCGGGGAAAAAAATCCTACGGACTTCACAAGGGATTTCTGCGTATAAAAGCTTTGAACATTGCTTAAAGGATAATAAAGAAGAGGCAGAAGGCAGAGGGAAGAAAGGAGGGGGCGGAAGAAAAAAGAGCAATAGATGGATAGATTGAGAAAGACCATGACAAATTAGGTTGTTGTTTTTTTAATTTGCTTTCCCCAATGGTTTCAGGTGCCTATGAAAATATTAACGATACACATAATACCAACAGAGCAATATTAGAGGCTGATGGACAAGAAAGGAACTTGCAAAAAACAAATGTTGGAGAAGCTAAGTGTAGAATAGCTTCAGAGCATTCAAGGCTATAGGATCTGTACTGTCTAGTGACCTCCTTGGTTGTAATAGCACTGTATACAGTCTACAGGGGGATCACATCAAGGTGTCTGTCAGATTAGAATTTCTTCCTTAAAAGGACATTCCAAGCACAAAAAGCACTTTGACCACTCACCCCGAGCAGGCTGTAGTAATTATGGTACTTTGAGTGTTCCTGGGGGCCACTAGGCGCCCTTCCTTGCCTTTGCTACAGCTTAGTGAGCACCGGGTAACTCCTGGCAACATAACCACTGCAGTGTTCTGTAGTGGTTATGGTGCTTGGAGTGTGCCTTTAAAAAGTTAATTGACTTATACACAAAGCATTCTGGGATTGAGCTGCCAACACTGAGGCTGTATGTTGCTGTGTGAGCATGCTATTGTCTGGCAAGGAGGTACATAACATTAAATCTTCAATAGCATGTACATTATCACCTATCCACTTGCTAGCAATTTGGCAAGTACAGCGAATAAATGGAATTTTATGGTCAATAAAAGGTAGCCACATTATATTTACATAGCAGGTGCAGGCAACTTTAAGCAAAAAAACACTGGGTGATTGATGAAATTGGGACTTGTGGGGAATTAAAAAAGGGAATTTCAAAAGCTAGCCCAAAACAGGGCTGAAAACCAATAACTGGGCTGTTTTTCCAGCTTGGCTACTCTGGTCTAATATTTGCAAGCCCCTTTTCAATATTCAGCTTGGTTAATAAGATATATGTTTAATTCCAAACTCAAGGCTAGTGCAGGTGTAAAGCCTTAGTGTGTTACAATAAAAATGGCGGCACCTCAAAACACTCGTGAAGGGTACCTTACTTCCCTCAGCCCAAAATATAGTACAGTACAACGTATTATAAGTGAAATGCTTATAATTTATTAGTGTATAATCGGAGATATCTTACCTTCTTGCAATATATCTTGCAGGGGGTTCAAAGTAGTACCATATGAAACACGTAAAAAAAAAAAAAAAGATAGAGAAAACGAATATACAATGCAGGTGGTAATAAGATATTGTGCAGATATAACGCAAATTAGATCCACTCACATAAAGGTAGAGCCCAAACGGTTACAGGCTCACTTTTAATGTAGCTACTATGCCTTTAAAGGTAGCATACCACCTTTCTTCAATCCTGGTTATTCCATCTCAGAAAATACGAATAGGGACATGTGATAGAGCAGTATGTCTATAATATATAGCCAGTATATATGAAGATATATTGCAAGAGGGTAAAATACCTCAGATTATACACTAGCACTCCAATAATAAATTATAATACTATTTAAAGGCTGCCTGAGCCTGATGGAAGGTGTGATTTATGGAAGACTGTGCTCTACATTATATCTGTAATGGTGAAACACAGCGATATTGGAGAATTAAAGTTAAACTGTCACCTCAAAACTATTTTTTTTTATAAATAATACAAATTTTTGAGAGAAAATAAATAAAAAAACAAAACAAAAACCAACATTTAAGTTTATGTAAAGAAACAGGGAAAAACTGTTCCCTACCTTTATTGTTACATGACGAGAACCTCCAGCCATGGACATCCATGTCGGGTGGGACAATGTTTGAAAACCGACAGTTAGTCTCTATGGTCTTCCCTGATTCCCTCCCAGCACAGAAGTTGGGAAGACCATAGAGACTAACTGTCGGTTTTCAAACACTCCGACCCAAGGTGTATGAATATGGCCGAAGGATCTCATTAATTTTTATTTTAGACTTCACTTAAAAAAAAAAAAATAATTATAAAATAAAATAAAAAATAAATATATATATATATATATATATATATATGTATGTATATATATATTTCCTTTCAAAACCTGACGAACGTATTATACTAAAAAAAATTTTTGAGGTGCCAACTATCCTTTAACCTCTTAAGGACCAAACTTCTGGAATAAAAGGAAATCATGACAGGTCACGTGTCCTTAAGGGGTTAAGATTGCGAAATATAGTTGACAAGTATAATCTGCGCAAGACTAGCCATCAGTACCTTATAGTAATTAACTATCGCTATGAGAGCCTCTCCTGCGAGTGCATAACTCGTTTATCACTTCCACCTATGTTACTAAACTCCCCCACGGGCTTGTATTCTCTGTGAAGGGTAAAAGCATATCTGACTGCATTACCTTTTAATTACCACAGCTGTCACACAGAGTTACGGCAAATCCACGTTTTACTTCCTACAGGAGAATCCTGCGCTGTCAGCGAGCAGCGAGATGATGATTAGGGGGAGCGTACCATTCACACTCTCTGGAGTTTATTTACCAAACCTGCAAGAATTATTCACAAACTGTTTAATAAAAAAGCTATTGGGAAAAAAAATATCCGCTAAATCGGGAGCTGTTGACAAATTAAAAGGGAAAATGAGCAAATTTTAGGCCAGATAGTTAAGCTGGAAACAAGCAGAATCATTTTTGTGACTCGACTATACGATTTCCAGTTCCCCCCATGTACTGCGTACAGTTTATAGTCTGGAAAAACAGATTTCTTTTTGTCTTATTCACTAAATATCAAACTGTAAATATCAAAATATCAAATTTACTGATAGCTTGGCTATTTTACCCTTAAAGCAACACTGTCATTTTAGGAATACAAACATATAACCCTACTTCTGGCAGATTCATTAGCCATCCAGGAACTCTTTGACAAATTTGCGCTAAGACTTGAAATTCACACTTCAGTCATCGACCCTGCGTGTGATAATGAAACCCTTCTGTATGGAAAGCTCTCTGCCGAAGCTATTTGGAAATCACCCAGATCACAGTCTAGTACATTTTTGAGGATAGTACACTGAATTCAAAGCTGACCCATAAAATTAGTTGAACGATTAGGGTTTTATTCATTAAAAGTGAATTGAAAACTAATTTTCACAATTTAGACCAAAACAACACATTTGTAAAATTCTCAAACAAAGCTTTAATTACCGCTTGGTTATTTTTGCGATATTTTCAGTTTGATACTAGTCTGTGTTTAGTAACTACACCCCACCGTGTTAAACCATAACACCAGACCTTTTTCAATGAAATGAAAGCTGTAAATACTACCAACAAGCAGTTAATGGACTTTTAGGAAAACACCTGACTAAGCCGGATTCCGCTGCGGGGTCTCTCTCCAAGGATTTGATCGCCTTTTTCAGCTTTTCCAGCTGCAATGTTTTATTGTATGCCTGTGAGTAGATTTTAATGAAGGGATCTTTCATATGAAATACTATGGTTGTCACTCTGGTTCCAGTATTTCTACGATGCTGTGTGAGGCAGAGTGTTTTCAGCACAGTATAGTAGTTATGGTGCTTAGACTGCACCTTTAATAAACAGGATGCCAGGCATGCTTGTGGGCCTATAATTGGCTGGACATCACGGAAAATGCATTTCTTGCAGAAGAGTAACCTTAGCGCTCCAGTTAATCCTCCAAACATAAAACCCAGATCTTCTCTACCTAGTGGAACAGCTCGATTCATGCCAAGGAGATGGGTAACCATTGGCATTGACTTGAAATCTAATCTCAAACTTGCTGCTAAATGGATAAAGTTTATTGGAAAATTTCTCCAGGAATCCAGGTTTTATCCATGTTGTTTTCATTACATGTGTCAAGGCTGGCAGTGGGTACAAAATTACACCATCATAGATAGCAAAATAGAGGGATAGAAAATTTGGGTTATACATTTTGGTGCAAATCTGTTGCTTTGGTGACATCATAATGATTACATTCTTGTAATTTGTGATGGCCCTTTCAATTCTGTGCAAAAAATTACATACTATTTGAATATTAATTGATATTAAAATAAGACTTATAGACAGACCTCCATAAAGACCATACACTAAATATTAAAGGGACACTATAGTCACCAGAACTACAGCTTATTGAATTTGTTCTGGTGAGTAGAATCATTACCTTCAAGCTTTTTGCTGTAAACGCTGTCTTTTCAGAGAAAATGCAGAGTTTACATTACAGCCTAGTGATAACTTCACTGGCCACTCCTCAGATGACTGTTAGAGATCCTTCCTGGGTCATGGCTGCCTAAAATGCATCCAAACATTCAGTATCTCCTCCCTCTGCATGCAGACACTGAGCTTTCCTCATAGAGATTCATTGATTCAATTTATATCTATGAGGAGATGCTGATTGGCCAGGGCTGTGTTTGAATTGTGCTGGCTCTGCCCCTGATCTGCCTCCTTGTCAGTCTCAGCCAATCCTATGGGGAAGCATTGTGATTGGATCAGGCTACCACTTCTGCTGATGTCAGCAGGCAGTGGGCAGGTCTAAAGGAAACAGGGACAAAGTAATCAACTGCAGACTTGAATACAATTAAGATTTTACTATATTTAGGGAGGCATGAGCGGCTCAGGGTGGCTAGATGGTGGTTTAAACCCTATAGGGTCAGGAATACAAGTTTGTGTTCCTGACCCTATAGTGCTCCTTTAAATAGAATTAAAAACATTTTTGTCATGATCTACAAAGCAATATGCTTCCCTGTGTTTTTGCTATATTGTAGTTTTATTAATTTATCTCTAGATGATCATATCTGCTTTCAGATGTTTAAAAACCCGTCACCCTCCAATCCACTACCCCATCAACTTCACAGTAAGAGGCAAAACAATTAAAATTCTTTAATTTAAAATGTATACATAAGATAGGTCTCTGATAAGAGGACCCACAGGGAAGTTTAGAATCAAGTAGACTTAAGGTGCCAGGTGCGGTCAGGGAGTGGTAGCAGCAATGCGGGATCTTCTGAGTGAGTCACTGACGTTGAAAGATTAGGATGTATATGTTTAACATTATGGGTACACCGGGGACAACTGGTTATAGGGGCATTGGGAACACCTTGGCATGGTTCTATTAGAGCAATGGTGGCCAAAAGTATATCCTCAGCCGTGGTGGAACAACACCTACCATTATCCTCCGCCAAATTAAATTAGTACTACAGTATCTGGGAATATACCACTGGCCACCTCTGCATTAGTGCTTAGGTGTAAGGTAGACACAGCCCTGTATTATTATGATTTATTTTTTTTGAGAAGCAATCTTAAAATGTTTGGTTGTCTATGTTCATGTACAATAGTCGGGTAGAAATTTTTTTAAAGTGTCTCTGTCATTAGAAAATGTCTTTGTGCTATCATTTAGCATTAGAATAGCTGCCTATATCCAGTACTACATTGGCGTTATCAGATACATCAAACAACCATGTTCTTTTCCTGCACAGTGGAATGCTGAGAGTTAAAGAGCTGCTTGAATCTCAGGATCAAATTGGCTGCTAGCATCACATGCTCCTAGCAGCTATTTTTCTAATAAATTACTGTCAGTGTGCACTGGAGAAACGGTGGTGTAATGCGTAGACAGCCACCTTGCAGATAAACGTAATGTAGCTTGGTTAGATGGAAAAATTATTAATCTCTCACTAGTACTGGTTTAACGATAATAATGGAAAGAATGCTTCAGGTGGCAGGTCCACCTTAAATTTGTGTTTTTGTCTACACTCTAAATGTTGGGTTCAGACTATACAATAGGTTGTGTGCACTGGGCTGTGGGGTTCCTGCACCTCAATCACTGTTTCAAGTTCATTTCTCTGACCCTTCAATGAGTCCCTGTCGTCTCTGTAGAGCTTCGAGTACAGCCAGCTCTTTGGCCTCCTTCTTCTGATTTCGAGCCTCATACTCCAATCTGTGGGGAACGTGTGATAAAGTTAGGAGTTTAGAATACAGTGATTTAATCAATCACAGCTGTGTCTGAGGACTATAGCACAACAGGTTAAGAAATAAACACTCAGACCTGTTCTTTATTATCCGCTTGACAATGTCGTCCGTAGTGAGGTTGTTCCCACTATCCACTGTCTGGAAGATCCCACGTTGCTTAGGTTCCTGCAGCAAAGACAGTCATAGTGTTAATGCAGGTGTGGGTGTAAAGGTTGTATTGTGGTAATGTGTTACAGATCCTCTTACAAACAACTAGAGGGCAGAACAACTAGCATGTGCAGACTCTATTAAGAGATACATAGAAACAGAATGTGACGGCAGATAAGAACCATTCTGACCATCTAGTCTGCCCAATTTTCTAAATATTTTCATTAGTCCCTGGCCTTATCTTATAGCTAGGATGCCTATCCCACGCATGCTTAAACTCCTTCACTGTGTTAACCTCTACCCCTTCAGCTGGAAGGCTATTCCATGCATCCACTACCCTCTCAGTAAAGTAATACTTTATAATTAATTATGATTATCCAAATGAGTTACAGCATCATTACAGCATTAAACAGATCAAAAAAAGGATAAGCAAGCTTTTCAAGAAAAATGGACAGGACAAGTTCTACAGGTGAGTGACACTTTGGGGAGGACAGAGGTGTTGCCAGTGACAAAGTGAGAAAAGGTGACTGTCAGTCAGACGGGATTAGCGATTTGCGATCTTCTTACTTGGACTGAGCGATGAACTAACGCACAGGATGGGTTAACTTATTGTGGGGTTTATTCATTAAATACCCAGTCACCAACTGGTTATCAGCTATGATGTAATTTAATGGCTCTGCTTGTGATTGGTGAATTCAGAATTTACTGCCTGGGTTATTCATTAAAACATGAACCGTTACAAAATCACCAACAAATTGCATATTTTAGGGCAAGACTGTAAGGCTGGAAAAATTCTCCATCCCAGCTGGTGCTCCAGTCCTAAAATAGCAACTTGTGATGAATTCAAAATGGAATTACAGAAATGAGTGAAAATAGCAAGCAGGAAACAAAACGGAATAGGAGAACTTTGTATAACTCTGCCTTTTATGCTTTAATTTCCTGGTAAACTGTGAATTCTCCGTAACTGCAATTTGAGGCCAAAATGGCTGAGCTGGTGACTTCAGGAACTATTTCACTTCTGCTATTTTAAATGAAATAGTTAGTGAATCCCTGACAATCCATGGTTTAGTGAATGAGCCTGAAAAGTAGATTGAATACATTTGCTCAGTAACAAACAGTTAATTTACAGTCTGACAGAGGGATTTCCTTTCTGATTCAATAAAGGATTAAATGACGGACAGACTGGTGGGTAAAACCTACTGCATAAGGATCAGATCCATCTTTATCAGGGAGAACTTCGGTCTTTCCGTGACAAACTATGTCAACCTAAAGGGGGGAAAAAATAATGAATTTGAAGAAAGCATCGTCCACTGCCCCGCCATATCACTTCCACCCTAAATGTCAGGGCAGGTGAGTCATTACCCATTAGCCCAAGGGCTACTCATCTCTGAAGACTTTAGGAATCCCATATAACCTTATTTTATTAATTTGTATTTACTCATGCAAGGAGACAGCCCCCCCAAAATATCTGGGTACATTCTATGTGAAATCGATTGGCTTTTTTAACGAGGAACAGTGTGTTGGCTCAGATTGGACACAGCATTTTGAGATTGTTTTGGCTCTATAAATGGGGTTATTGTATCAGGATGCTGCATGATCAGGCTACTTCATACGGCTTTACATTGAAGACGTTTTTGTACCTCTTGCCAGCTGCCTTACTCCCCTTCTAAACCCAACATATCTGCTGCAAACTGTAACTCACCTTGAAGTGATCGATCAGATCTGCAGTCACGGAATATGGAGCCCCGATAACTACTTCGGACACATACTGTGGGTAAACAAATGTGTTAAATCAGATGGTTGGATCAGGACAAGAGTGAGAGAGAGAAACACTGTGTGTCAAAGTGACCACACTCACTATGTAACACCATGAGAAGCGCCCCATGAATTGGAAACCTCGAAGTCCCATCAAGCTCCATTACTTGCTGAGTTATATATTGCTTCCTCTAATACATGCATGGTATTAGCTTAGTAATCCCATTCTTCTATTAGGGAGTTAGCTCAGTGAGTCATTCTATTGTGATATAGCAACATATATTTTGCAGAACCCCTTCATTGGACTCTTCACATCAGGGATTCTCCATGGTGAGGAAGGCAAGGCAGTTACATTAACCATTTTATTACGGGCTCTTGCCTGAGACTTGAAGCATAAGATGTGTTCCAACACTGGGAACTCAGTTTAGGGTCCTCACCCAGGGCTTGCCAAACATTGCTCTCAGCAAACTGTCACTCACCCTGCAGGCCAGGACGCTGAGGGTCCTTTCATGGATGTTCATTATAGGATAATTCTTTCTTTTGTAGTGATTCACCTCCTGGAATTAAAAAGAGTAACTGGTTCAGCAAATGTACAAATGAGACAGGGATTAAAAGGTGGAATGTGAGTGGGAATAAAAGTGCTATACTTGAAGTTAATACATTTCAGGAGTTCTCCACCTTTTAGCCACAGATCTATGACGATATGCAATGGGTGACAGCTTCCTATAGCTTCTATCTCCAGTGTCAACACGTGAGAATGTTTGTGCATTGTGAAAAATGTGGGGGGGGAGCGGAAAAGCAAAATAAAAACACGAGCTACGCAGCTATGGAATACGATCATCACCTGGTCAAAATGCAACCCCACTATGATGTATGGCTTGGAAGCCAAACTGTGGACTTTCTCGAGGAAATCAATATGTCCAATGTCTACAGAGAGGAGTTAAGGGGAAAACCGGGGAAGTAGGATGAAATACATTGTGAAATGCATAAAATAAAGTAATATAACATGGGAGGAAGATAAAGCAGGGATCAGTTGTAGCTGCCTATCTACAGGAGGACAGGGATTTTACTAAAAGTATTTGGTGAAAAGAGATGTGATTATAAATTATAATAGAAGAATAATTAAGAGCATGAAATATTTAATTCTCGAATCTCAGAGGTTAACCAATGGAAGGCAAATGCAAAGGAATGAGGTGATCAAAGATCAAAATAAATGTGTTAAATGGCAAATAATCCGTCTTTGTGGGTTGTTTAGAAAGATCTAATAATTTCGAAGAGACTAAAAGTGCCAGTGATGATTACAGAGGGCTAAGAGACATAATGTCATAAACAGAAAGTGCGGAGGTGGTGTTAGTGAAATAATGATGAAAGGATACGAAAGAGATCAAATGCCCCGGCAACATAAATAATGGTGTCTCCAGGCTCCGGCTCCTTCCCAGAGGCAAACTGCATAATCTTCTGTGATGTCTGGAGGAACTGAGATACCCCTGTCCAAGGACTGCAGCCTCGTGCGTCCTGCACAGGAAACAGAAAGAAATACATTAAAAGGAAACTGTGAGCACTGTAAGGGCTTCATCTTATTAAAGTGCTTATAGTGTCTGGAGTCCCCTGGCGCCATCTGTCCATTCAGTGTTAAACCATTTTTGTTTTAATGCACCTTGACAAACGCACAGATCTTAATGCACATCAGCAGTATGGGACTGCAGGATCGCACAACGCTGACCTGGTCATTCAGATTGAGACATTAGGTGTGGGGCAGGATACCATGCTCTGTAATGATGGGGACGTTTTCAGTTAAATACATATTTATGGGACTTTTATTTCTTAAAACTATTACAGAATCACTGGTCACTCCAGGCACCCACACAACTCATGGTGATATCATTTACCTGACATAGAACGCAAGCTCAACAAATCAAAATCACACCTTTACACCCTAGCTCCACCCCTCTATAGCTTCAAAGAGAAAACCTCTTCAGCTGTTCATATCCAAAAAACTCTGCTCTAACTCTCTGAACCCCATTTATTAGAAAAAAATGAAATAATTAGACATCAGGCTACCAATACAGGATGTGTGACATCATACAGTCACTTCGGGTTGCTATCTTTAGTTCTGAAGAATTAAAGATATTATGTTTGCATGCATGGTCTGAGTATGCACTTTATTTAGTAACTGACACACATTAGAAGGGTTTCTGTGTACATGCACTGATTATGAATGCACTTTACATTGATACACAGAGTCTAATGCACTTAATATTGAGATTGAAAAGGAAGTGATCCACACCCATTGACTGGGATATATTCCAGTAAAGGGAGTACAGTGCCCTTTATTACATTAATCAGTTAGTGTATACCAGTAATTGTGCACAGCTACTTTTTTAAAGAAACACTCCATTGCCATTTTAAAGTATTTAGTAGATATACCCAGGGGCGGACTGAGCACTCCCATAAATCAGTCACTGAAATCGGAACTCCCCAACTATTGCAGCCTAGTGCGTAGCTGCGATGTGAAGAATGTCTCCGGTCTCCCACACGGCTCAGCCATGCACTGGAGACAGACTGTTGGGGCTGGATGAAGGGGATATGGGGAGGGTGACTGTATGGTATTGGTGGGAATAAAGAGATAGGTGGGCAGATTAGGATTCCAAAATCAGTGATTTCTGGCCACACATCCATATTAATGGGCAGCACATGAATTTGTTATGTACAAATCAAGCTATTACTGTTATATAGTGAACGAGAAAATTGTGGGGGGCAGTAAGGGGGAGTTAGACGGTGCCAGAATGATAAAGGCATGGGGTAAATGAAGGAACCAGAAATAAAAATAAATTTAAAAATACACACACTTACATCACACAGCTACGCAAACAGAACCCAGGCATTACTCACACTCACAGATACACCTCACACAAATAATGTTTTTTTAAATATACCCAATCACTCTCTTACATACTACACACATTACACACACAGACACAAATAGATAATTTCGCAAAATGCACAAACGCATTCTTGCATTCATCCACTCAACTGCTATTGAATTCATACATACAGATATTACACATATATTTACAGTGAAACGTTACACATATATAAATCTGCAGGGGTACTAGATAAATACACAAGTACCTACACTCACAACACACAGTCAAACAGCAAAACACTTTCATACATATTCTCTTTACGCTCTATGAACACAAAAATACACACACACACGATTTTATTCATTAAAATTTACAAAATTGACAAAAATTGCACAATGTAGGCGACGCCCAAGGTTTTTTTTTGTTTTTTTTTTTATTCCATTATCAGCTTTTTAATATTCCACAATTTGTAAAAAAGTAACTATTTATATTTGTAAAAGTGTATACCACATGGGGCTCAGGATATGATTGCTGTAAGTCCGACCCTGGATATACCCCCATGTCATTTTTTTCTGTTGCCTTAGCAAGCCCTTTCCTCTTTCCCCAGCACCGATTTTCACAATGTTGTTCACCGCACACCTGTCAACGTCTCGGCATTAACAAACATCACTTCTGGCGATAAAGCCATTGTGTTGTCATGGTAACTGATGTATTTATTGCTTTAACCCCTTATGGACCAAACTTCTGGAATAAAAGGGAATCATGACATGTCACACATGTCATGTGTCCTTAAGGGGTTAAGAGCTGGAATATTTTTGGGTAACCATCTTATGGCATAGTGCAAACAATGGAATGGTATTTTACAATAATAACTGTGCAGTTTTTAAGACATTTTACTAGCGTCCTGATGACATATCTTTTCAAAAATGAATACAAACAAACCACAGCAAGACACCACGTATAACAGCAGCAGTCACATGAAGTGTAACCACTGGACACAACAGCGTACCTTTCCAAAATTGTCCCTGTGCTGCTGGTAATCTGAGTTCACTTCCTGGAAGAGAGAAAGGAGGTGAGAGGGGGATTACAGCCAGAGGATAACGTTTCAGGACACCGTGTCTCTTTACTATGTTGCCATGTCACACATTGCTACATTTGACACATTACTAACCCCCCTATTGCTACACAGAATCACACCACGTCCCACACTGCCCGAGAACCAGCTGCTAACAGTATTAGTGTCATCACAACGCAACAGTTCCACTACTTACTACACTGTGATGAGTTTTGGTCATAAGCAGCATGCGCCCCACCAGGTCAGTAGTGGACACTCCCTGTGTGCGCTGACACTCCCTGAAAGAGAAGACACATGAGTCCTATGTCCACCAGCCTCCCTCCCTACCCCCCAGGCAAAACGAAGAAAATCCCCCACAGACCCAAACAGACCTGTATCTCCCGGCTGTCTTCACCTCTTCATACGTGTCTTTACCATCTACGGTCAGCGTGATATCATCTGCCGATGAGAAGGAAGTCAGACCTGTGATAAGCTCCTAATTGCTCTTCCTCTACTAGAATCTTTTTTTAAATTAATTTCCTTGCAAAGACAGGCTTTTTTTTTTTTTGAGTTCCAAACATAGGTGGCAAATTTCTGCAAAGTTTAACTCCTAACTTCTGCGTGCTGCTCATACTGTCCCTATGAAATCAAATGAAACTAAACTGGAGGATAATTAGCTACAAATTTAAAAATAACATGAAAATGGCAACAAAGGTCCATTCTAAGTGATATTATGCCTTGAAAGAGTGGAAATTCAAAGAAACTAGACAGAATGACTAGACAATAAAGTCTAAACATAATTGATAATTCAACGTTTCAAGCCCTCGTTACATCGTATTGAGTCTTCAAAAGTAATGGAAAGTGTAATTGCCCAAAGAGGCCACTAGAAGGCATCCAACATATACTCAAGTCTACATTTCTACCATGCATGCTTTCCTAATGCTCAGACATATTTATAGTCAGCTTGGTCATTACCTCGGCTGACAAACATTTGCACAGTACCTCTAGCAGTGTTAACTAAATAGATAATGCCTACATACTCTCCTTAGTCGAGTGTCTTAGCTCTGGAAACAGGTACACACTATAGATAAACTAAATAAAGCTGAAGCCATTAATCTCCTTCTATCACAGCAAAACTATACAGGTCGGTCCTAAATATTACCTGTCCTAGAATCTGCCCTCAATAACCCTAACTGCGTGAGTACCATTTTTCGGGCGCAGTTGTGCTACACCTCACCGTGTCACTACCGAGGCGTATAACAGCCAACCAAGCCTTGCTCGGTTTAAATAAGACAAACTACTGTGCACCCTACATAACGTGATGAGGTAAAGGGAAAAGAACAAAGACTTAAAACCTGTTCTCTTTCCTTCATCTAACCACGTTAAGTTGTGTTTTGAGTCCATCATGTGGTTCTTGGAGCCCATCAAATTGGTTCTGATCCCCACCAATCCATTTCACGTACTTCCATGGACACAGAAGTCACAGTTGTATTTGTCGAGTGTTTCCAGTGTTGTCACGTATGGAGCTCCGGGAACGATTTCATCCACCCATTTAATAGCTCGCACCATCTTATAGCGCTCCTCCTGCGTGAAGACCGGGGGTCCCTTGTGACAGGAAATCTCCTCTAGACGCAGGAAAGAAGTCAGTGAGATCTTATGAAGGAATGAAAATCAGGGATTGAAAGACAGAAATGTATAACTGTGGATTCTTATAGCAGATTTGGTAGCCAACAAAATATCATAAATAGTAAATACTTCAATAACAATGGGATGTACCACTCGTTAATGGTTTCTAGGAAACGGGCAGACTGTGCAGAGTAAATGGTTAATGTTTTCTATATCCAGGGAGCGGCAAACACGTTTTAGGAAAAGTTCAGTGTCACCAATAGTTATAAACAAGGTCACCATGCTTCAAATGGTATCAAGCCATGAGCGATAGACAAATTGTTAAAGGATGATCAAGGTCAAGAAACAGAACTTTAATAAAAGGGAGCTACTGATCAGTGGCACGGAGGACAATGATGTATCTCGTCGTGTTTCTGGAATTCAGTATAAGTTTGATAAACACGATATACTAGTCAATAAATAACGAGAGCGTGTTACTAGGGTTATATTTCTACAAGCGGATTCTCCTGAACTGGAGTTGTAGCTGAAAGCAGCTGGAGAGCTAATGGCTTCTATCCTGTAATCTACAGCAGACACACCCAGGTGGCACTTACCATCTGTGTGTACGCCGGCAATCAGGTAATCTCCCATGGCCCGAGCCTGACGAAGCTGGTTTGAATGCCCATAATGAACCATATCAAAGCTGAAAACACACACAAAAAGTCCAATTTAAGGGTTGACATTGAATGTAATGATGGCGGCTGGATACAGAAACAGTGATGCAATGTTATAGACCTAACTGCTAATACAAGGAGTTACATCATCCGCACGTTGCCCTCTGTACATGTGATATAATAAACAGACTGACCTGGCCTATGGAGTCCACAATAACAGTATATGGAGTCTCTGGCTGCGGAGACAGAGATCACGTCATTTTACATTGATTAGGGTTTCTACAACCCCATATCAGCACCAGGAATCAGCGACTCCAATATTTATCTCATGGCTCAATCATTACAGGAAGTCCACAAAAGCAGGGCTTGTTCTGTGCATGTGAAAGAAATCGTTAGACAGAGGCACACATACACTGCGCCCTACTGACATCACAGGACCAGTAGACATGCATTCCCAATGATCGATGCAGGTTGTGTCTGGGAGAACACGCGTGCTATGCATCATGAGAAATGTAGTTTACAAGCTTTTGTAGTGTCAAGGTTAGCCATCACTAATCTGTGTATATACACATTTCATTATTCCCCACATTCTTTAAAAGACATGTGCATGTATGCTTAATTAATATACCAAAATATCATCATCAAAACACACCTCTCACACCCACCTACCAGTCTTCTCACCTATGACACAAACATAGTACTAATTGTGACAGACTAGCCCCACTTTGGCTACATTACCCATAAATCTGTGCCGAACTCTAGTGAGAGAAGCCAATCGATGATAGGGGAGGATATCATATAACTAAAGCTGACTAATTGTGGAGTATCCGGACGTTACAAAACCAAACAAGCTGTGGGTGAAGGGATTTGTAGTCGGCTTCTGCACCAAGCCACAGAATATTAACAAGGATAAATAACAAACAGTGTTTTTTATTTTTGTCAGTGAGCGTTAATGTAAGCCAAATAGAAGATATGTTATTTTAGTTTAGATGTTATAATTTGGTTTTCAAAGAAGCACATCTCAAGAATTATTGAATAAATCCCAAAATAACGCAATTACCGCCGAGGCTTTTAGAAGCGGTCTGGTTTGTATAAACACGATTCTAGCCTGGAAGCCATATCGCTTGAAGTGCTTTATTCAATAGACAGTGAATTGTGGTAGATTGAAATAACATGCTGCAAAAAGCAAGCACAAACAGCAGATTTAGGAACAAGTTCTCCATATCCCTTATTACACACCTTTGCAACTGTAGCCAGAACTATACAATTTTGACTTCCAATTAAGTGTTTAGTAAACAAGTCCCTGATGGACATTGAATGCAGAGCAGAGAAAGAGCCAGCGAGAAAGTGTCATTAAAACCCAGAAAGGATGTGATCAGTTTACCAAGTCAGCAATTGACCCGCTACACTCATTAAAGCCAACCTTTCACCTCTCTGAAAGCTCAGCAGGGCGTCCATTTTTACCTGTTTTTCCATTAATTTCTCTCCCTATTAATTTCCTTTGCTCCATTTCACAGCCGCGGCTATGTCCTGGCAGTTTAACAAGGGAGGTGAACACAGGACACGTGAGACAATTAGGCAGAATTTGAAAAAAGGCACGAGGCCAGGGCGTTCAAATGCAAGATACTCCCCAACACCTACAATAACCTCAAAACTATTTTAGAGTTTGAAAAATAAAATGCCTAAGGTATCCGTAACTTCTGGATGTACACGGAATGAATGTCTCAAGGTGGCAAATCCACAGACCGATGAGTGCAGTAAGGGTAAACCTTGAGGCTGGCAGAGCATTGTAGGAAATGTAGGCCACAAACAATATGGCAACAAGTTCCCCAGCACTACACTTGCTAACAGGGTCTCTTTAATCTCCCTCCATCCCAACAATAATAGTGAGCATTTCATAAATATGAAAGCTTTAGAAAATGATAAGGGCGGTGTAGGGACTTTGTCTTATGCATTTTATTTATTTATTTTCAAACAATTGACAAAACTTGACAGAAAGCAAAGCTATTGCTAATATTGACAGCAGAAAGGAAAATGCTCTGTCTATGGAGAATCCCGCAGATCCTCCATAGACATAAGTATTGCACTCTCATGCATGCACGCGGGTACAGCGCTGAAACCGGCTCCTGGCAGACGAAGCTCCAGGACCTGAAAAGGAACTCGTGGTAGAAGATGACAGCAGCCGTGGGGAACAGGTTCAGTTACGTTAAAGTTACCTTTTCCTGCACCCCCAGGCCACTACCCTGGAAATGGAGCAGTCACCTTCTGAGGTCTTTGTAAAATACACAAGGCAGCAGAGCCAATTCAACTCTTTACCCATCGGTCATGTGTACAAAGTGCAAAATGTGGAGCAATCACCATATAAACAGGTACATTCTATTAGTAACTCCACCACTTAATTCAACCTTTGAGAAATCTCCCAAATTAATCAATTTTGAAGTGCATCTCTCCACTAACACAGGAACTTGCTGCATGAAAATAAGGGTCATGAGAGGCTGGTAGTCTACAATTTGATATTTTGAGCCCTGAATATACATACATGGAGAATATTAGCTACAGATCTCATGGTATTCAATATCCACTTGGTGAGGAGACCAGCATTAAAATTCAGTCACAATATATTGAGGGCCGTATACGGACAAGTTTTTTTAATTTTTAAATAAACACTTTAAAAAAAACAAAAAAAAAAAAACCTCACAACATTCCCATTTAAGTAGACAGATTCTGATAAATTAAAACTTTATTACAATACATTAAGAACAGTTTAAAAACAGAACAGATTTAGAAAGCAGAACATGTCTGACATTAAAGGCAATGTTAACACAGACTTAAAACCAATACTAAAAGGCCTCTTACACTTTGATAATTAAAAAGGTCACTGTAGGCGAATGGAAGAAAATCAGTTATTTATACTTGCTCCGTGGGGGCGGTGTTCTTTAAGTCCTCTCGGGTCAGAAGCACTGTTTGTCTGACCAAAGAACACATAGATAACAGAGGTAGTGTGTGATCATACATCACAATGTCATTTCTAAAACACTAGGCATTTCTAACACTGTCTGAGCCAACTGTCCGCCACAAAATAAAATAACTTCTGACCCAAAAGAACTGCAAAGATTGCCACCACCAGAGAGCAAGGGTACACCACGAGATACCACTTTTACAGTGTATTTACCAATATGTATTACAAAAAAATATTACATGTAGCTTTATTTAAAATAAGAGTGAACGTTTTACATTAAGGGGTAAGATAATGCAAAACCCACTTTTAATTTATCTTTTCTGCATCGGCTTGAAAATTTTGAACCCCTAAATATGGGAGCACCACATAAATATTTTAAAGCACCATTTAAAGTTACACATGGTTGGAATGTAAATTCCACAGAAGCATTTGGTCATGGCTACTAGAATATTCTAGCTGGCTTATAAATTATACAAAGCTTTTTCCCAACCTTGTGTACATTACACACTGAAGGATTATTCAGTACACAGTGAATCATACAGAATGGCACATTTTAGGAGTTGGAGAATTTCTCCAAATCAAGCTATTCTTGCCGATAAATTGCAGTTTTCCTTGTTGGTTCATCACAATGCCTGTTTGAGAAAAAAAAATGGATAATTTACAGTCCCCCCCCCAAGGCGGTTTCTCGTGCCATCGTTCTGTAAAAGCTGCAGAGGTAACAGATTTGGCATGGATTTCACTGCCCGGAGCAGTGGGTGTGTAGGAATTAAACAGCTCACTGTACAATGGCAATTTTAGAATTTGGCTCCACCTGGAATGTAAAACACTAAAGTCTTAATGCCTACACACAAAGCTAAATGCAAAGTATAGGGCTGTGGGTGGTAGTCTTCCATTTTTCGATTCTTATACTAACATGCCCTGACCTAATGTCCAGAATAGCAGGTTATTAACCCATTCAGTGTAAAGGTGGGGGAATGAACACATTCCTCTACAGATATGGGCACAGAAACTGATTACAGGAAAAGGGCAAAACAATAACTACATGGGCAATACAACAGGGGTGTCCATAGATGGCCCACTGGATTAATTTCATTTCACAGAATTCTCTGCCAGCCAAAAATAATATCTTCAAGTGAGGACAAAGGACAGGACAAGGTTCAGTAAGCCAAGTTTTTTCCTCATGTTACGGTGTGTAAAATTAATATTGGATTTTTCCACAAGGATGTTTAACAGGACGAGGCGGGCTTATCTGACAATATTCTGTGTGTATTTACAACGTACTGACAGGTGGACAAAGGTCGGAATCACATGATACGTGGCTCTTGTTATTGTACGGCCTGACCTGCAGTATTAGGGTAAAAGATTTCACGATTAAACATTAGGAGATGTGTCAGAATGTGGCAATAAACCGTACCCTAGCAGGTGCACAGAGGCTTGGCCTGTGAGAAATACATAGTGTATCGTTACACCAATAATTTTATCCTGTACAGACTCCGAGCAATTACATTCTTTAACACCGCCCTGGGGCCAAAAACACAGGTGTGAGCTGCACAAGCCGGGCAGGTTGTGTTGGGGAGGGGATTGCATAATAAACACATGGGAAATACACACATGTATTCTCCAAGTGTAAATTGTCTAGAATTCAAAATCATGTCTTACATTATAGTCCGAAACAGACAAATAATGGGGCGAAAAATAAAATAAACATCCAAAAAGCCAACATATTCTGTTCAGATCTTTTCGCCTACAATGTAAAATTCTATTAACTTCTGACATTTCACATAATGGGTAACCTTGTGTATCAGAAACCGAGGGACAGGTGTTAAACCAAACACAGAATCAGAGTAAAAATAAGGGGGGAGGGGTGGGGGATAAAATAGACTAATGCCATGGCCATCAGTGGGACTAGAAAGGATTCCTGAATAACCCACAGAATCAGAGTAAAAATAAGGGGGGAATAAAATAGATAATGCCATAGCCATCATTGGGACTAGGAATGATTCCCGAATAATCTGTTTAATATAAGATTCCAGAGACATTGCTGCATGGACTCTGTATCAGTATATAAACTGTGGATCCCAGACACATTATGCATGGACTCTGTATCAGTATATAAGCTGTGGATCCCAGACACATTATGCATGGACTCTGTATCAGTATATAAGCTGTGGATCCCAGACACATTATGCATGTACTCTGTATCAGTATATAAAATGTGGATCCCATAGATTAGTGGATTTCAGGTATTTCCCCATTACTGCTCCCCAGGTCATGCTACAGGGGCATTTAAAGTGACAGTAACCAGGAAACCCCATTACTGCTCCCAGGGTCATGTTACAGGGACAGGGGCATTTAAAGTGACTAACCAGGGAGCCCCAATACTGCTCCCCAGGTCATGTTACAGGGACATTTAAAGTGACAGTAACCAGGGAGCCCCAATACTGCTCCCCAGGTCATGTTACAGGGACAGGGGCATTTAAAGTGACAGTAACCAGCGAGCCCCAATACTGCTCCCCAGGTCATGTTACAGGGACATTTAAAGTGACAGTAACCAGCGAGCCCCAATACTGCTCCCCAGGTCATGTTACAGGGACAGGGGCATTTAAAGTGACAGTAACCAGGGAGCCCCAATACTGCTCCCCAGGTCATGTTACAGGGACATTTAAAGTGACAGTAACCAGGGAGCCCCATTACTGCTCCCCAGGTCATGTTACAGGGACAGGGGCATTTAAAGTGACAGTAACCAGGGAGCCCCAATACTGCTCCCCAGGTCATGTTACAGGGACATTTAAAGTGACAGTAACCAGGGAGCCCCATTACTGCTCCCCAGGTCATGTTACAGGGACAGGGGCATTTAAAGTGACAGTAACCAGGGAGCCCCAATACTGCTCCCCAGGTCATGGTACAGGGACATTTAAAGTGACAGTAACCAGGGAGCCCCATTACTGCTCCCCAGGTCATGTTACAGGGGCATTTAAAGTGACAGTAACCAGGAAGCCCCAATACTGCTCCCCCCGTCATGGTACAGGGACATTTAAAGTGACAGTAGCCAGGGAGCCTCACTACCCGGATTACCCCCGTCTCTCACCAGCCATCACACCACACCCGGACCGGCCGCCTGCTCCCGGGGGCCCGCTCGGTGGAGGATCCGCTGTGCCCGTTCCGAATCATCCCGGTCAATCAACTGTCTGCCAAACCGGAAGCCGCTGCAAAGCCGAGCCGCTCCCCAGGAAGTGACGCGCAGCGCTCGCCTGGAAACCACAGACGCGGCCCGAGGTCGCGGCGGCCATTTTTAGTGCTGGCGCCTGCCAGTAGTTACAGAATATTGCACATAACTGAGCCCCCAAGGGGCCCACACACTGGCTAAACAGGACAGGTTCAAAAATATTATAACATAACAGTTCAGTTGGTGCAGACTGAGAGTCCGCAGTTCCTGTATTATCTTTTGGTCTTCCTGCCCTTTGCACACCCTTTACCAAACCAGCCACCAGACAGGGGCTGGGGGGCCAGCGGGTGGGGTGGCGTTATAGGGTCCGGCTCCGGAACAGCGGGTTTTATAGGCTGCCGACTATGGCTGATTTCTTCTCCAGGATTTAGTGGGACAGCAACTTCAAATATAGGATCTAGCGACCTGTGGATTAGAGCAAGTAGGAAATAAAGTCAGAATAGCATTTTGATTAAAATAAGATTGCACACCTAGCCCTGTACAGTAAATATAAAAGCCACGCTTCCATAATATCCCTGTTCATTCCTGTCCTGAATACAGTGTCAGACGGTTCTAACTGGAATACTGTTTGTTCCATGCAGTTAAGAGTTCTTCAACTGACTGCTAACCATTTTAATGAGGGTTGTAATTGTTCCTAAACAAAAAAAAAACCCACAAACACACACACACACACACCGCATATTGCAAAAAGCAACAGTGATAGGACAGACCTGCAGTCCATTGTCAGAGACTAAGTGCTGCTTAGTGTAGGCTGTGTTTAGTCACATTGTCTAATAGTTTTATGTAGAATTTGACAGACAGAAATAAATAAATTTAAAAAAAAAAAAAAGCAGGGAAACAGAAGAATGCCAAAAGCCAGAAGAGCAAAGGATGGCCGCAAGGGAAGGAAGAGTGATAAAGCCAAAAAGAAACTCACCGATCATACTCCGGGACATCTAGGTTCAACTCTCTCATTAGAAGCCGCATGACCTCGTCACATTTCCCGTTAATTTTCAGTGTTGCCATAGAATCTTTAGGTGTCCACTGATAAAATGAAAGAAGTGTACATTAGAGGATCACACAGGCACAAGACACTCAAAGCTCGAAGACTTACATGAGACTTACCTGTAAATTTACAATGTACAGCTCGGGTCGTTTCTGGAGTGGCTTGTTCATGCCCCACAGAGCACGATACTTTTTCAGAACCTGACATGGGGAAATACAGGAATATATAAGCAGTTGGTAGTCAAGCAAGGTTTCAGTTCAATGAAGTGGTCATTAGGAAAGATTTTAAATCAAAATACTGTATTTTGAAAGTTAGTTTAGCAAGAATACACAGAGATCTCATTATAAATTATGTCCTGAAATGTAGTCTGCTTTAACTCTTTCAGTGGCTTGTGTTAATAACAAGTATGAGCGCAAGTCTTACGGGTTGTTGAGGAACAAGTTATCTAATGTGCTATACATTTTCCATATCTTCCATTCTTATTTAACCCTTTCAGTAGAAGAGACTGTGCTCCTGTATTTTGCCCTTTCCATTCTTTAATGCAGAACCAGTTTAAGAAGCTTTCATCAGGTTTCAATACAGCTGAGTGCCTCCATAGGAATGTAATCAGAGGGAACATCACAAGTGATTTATTGGGGAATTATTGTAAAAAGGAAACAAGATATACAGAATTTATTGCACTAAAGTGTTATTGCAACCACCATGAACACTTCTACCTTTAGAAGTGGCCATGGTGGGAGGAGTCTGTACATGCAGCACTTCTGCGTGAAACGCTGCACATATGGAGATATTTATACTTTTGTGCCGGGGCTAGATGCACTCCTGGCACACATGACAACGTGTCTATTCTCTGTGTGACATGTAATCACATTTACCTGTAATAAACCAATATACGAGAGCTCTTGTAGCCTTCTAGGAGAATCTAGAGCTTTTTGGGCTACTACACTAAGATTGTGTCCTCCATGTGCCCTGAGGATTGCCATATTTATGAGGAGTAATTACATTGGTTATTTCTGTTCTCAGTGATCCTGTTGCCAGCATCTCTCCAGGATTTGTATACACCATGGGGAAGAGTCACATTTCACGTTCCCACCACTGACTGTATACCTCGGTACTTTGATTTGTCTCTAGGGGAGTGTTTCATTTGGATATTTTTTAGGTGCTCGGTTTGTTACCATTGATTTTGTGGGATAGAGGGATTCCCACCATATAGCTTGTTGCTGCCTGTTCTAGCTCAGTATTTCATAGCACTTCCCTTCCCACTGTCTTTTTTTCTCTCCTTTTACAGGAGTCTACATTATGAAAAACTAAATAGAATAGAGAGCCTCAACCAGAACATGCATTTCTCAGTAGTGATGCGGTTTTAAAGACCAGCATGTAAGCAACGCACAGATTAAGGGAATAGCTCACACAAAATAGTTTCAGTTTTTAAATCTGACAAGGCTACTTAAAATCAGCTATCTTAACACGTATGGGGATTTGGCTAAACCATATGGCCATACCATGTTATAGGGACACTGGGCATTTATGTGCAACACATACTTGAATCTCGTAAAAAGGACATGAACAGAACTTGATTTTACATGGAAAAACAGACTGACGTTTAGCCCCTTAAGGACGCATGACGGTTCAGGACCGTCCTCGGCATTTTTGCGTTGCCGACCGAGGACGGTCCTGAACCGTCCTAACGGAAAACGGGCGGCGGGAGCGATCAGAGATCGCTTCCGCTGAAATCCCGTTGTTACTATCTGCCCGGCATCCCAGGCAGATAGTAACAGCCAATTGCGGCATGTGAGCGATCCGCGATCGCTCACAATTGGCTGGTGTCAAAGTGGGTGTTACAAACACTCACTTTGACACTGATCTCTGCCTCTCTCCTCTCTGTAGCGTTTTGTGAGAGGAGAGAGACAGAGATCCTGATAGTTTGTTGCAGCAGCTGTTCCTGTGAAAAATAAAAAGTATCTTCAGTTAATTAAAATCCTATTTTAACCCCTTCCCTGCCAGATCTGTTACAGACAGTGCATTTTTACTGTCTGTATTTTTTTTTTTGCCCTTAAGGGTTAACTTTATTTTAAAAAATCTGTGTCTTAGACTGTCTTAGACTGTCTTAGACTGTCTTCGACTGTCTTAGACTGTCTTCGACTGTTTTAGTCTGTTTTAGTCTGTTTTAGTCTGTTTTAGTCTGTCGTAGTCTGTTTTAGTCTGTCGTAGTCTGT